GTGATCCGAACCCCTCCTATCAAGATCTCCTTGGACAGTTAGTTTCGTATGAGGTGCTTCTTCACGCCAACACGGTCCTCCAGCCACGGCCATGCTTGTGCGGTCGCCACCTTCTCCTACGCCGCCTCAATCCTCTTGTGCCGGTCGCTCGCAACGCGGCGGCGGCGCGCAATCGAGTTCAGTCGTGGTGGTGGTCGGCGTGGTACACCCTCCCGCTCCGGGTGAGACGTGTCAGCTTTGCGGCATCTTGAATCACACGGCCGCCACTTGTCGACGCCGTTTTGATACTAATTTTGTTCCTCGACCCCCTGCCGTTCGGTCGGCTGCTTATGCCCAGGCAGGCTCTCCTGCACCGGCTTCAGCTGGTTTGTTGCCTCTTCCATCTTACCCGGAGTCGACTATGTCTCCTCAAGCCCATATGGCGCAGTATGCCCCTTCTATCACTCCCTGGCATTCGGACACTGGTGCTACCGATCATGTCACGCCAGACTTGTCCTCTCTCAGTATCTCCAATGATTATACTGGTACGGATCATATTTTAGTTGGTAATGGAGATTCTTTACCTATTCAACATGTTGGTCAATCTGTTTTGCCATTGTTTTCTCGTCCTCTATATTTAAATCGTGTCTTGCATGCTCCTTCTCTTACTAAGCCTCTGTTATCTGTTCAAAAGTTCACCCGTGATAATCACTGTTTTTTTGAATTTTATTCTGACTCTTGTTGTGTTAAGGATCTTTCAACCAAGGAACTCCTCCTCCGCGGTCGGGCTGATAATGGTCTCTATCGCTTAGATCTTCCTGCTCGTGGTTCCTTGTCTCCAGCAGCTTATCTTGTCTCGTTAGGTCAGTGGCATGCTCGTTTAGGGCACCCTAATAATGTCACTCTTCGTACCTTGGTTAGGCAGTTTCAACTTCCTTATTCCTCTGTGTCCACGTCCACTGATAAATGTGAGGCGTGTTGTTTAGGGAAGTTACATAGGGTCAGTTTACCTTCTACTTTTCATCGTAGCTCTAAACCTCTTGATTTAGTTCACACTGATGTTTGGGGTCCTGCTCCTATTTTGTCATTCAATGGTTATCGCTACTTTGTACTTTTTATTGATGACTTCTTTTTATTCACATGGATTTATCCCATTAAGTATAAAAATGATGTTGTCCATGTTTTCAAGCAATTCAAAGCTCTCTAGAAAACCAATTCGGCACTACCATTAAAAGTGTTAACTCTGATTGGGGTGGTGAATTTCGTTCTCTCAATTCTTTCTTTAAGGATGTCGGTATTGTTCATCGTTTAGCATGCCCACACACTCATGAGCAGAATGTCACTGCTGAACGCAAAATTCGTCACATTGTCGACATTGGACTTGCTCTCCTTGGCCATTCCAGTACCCCTTTTCGGTTTTGGGATTTTGCTTTTGAAACTGCTGTGTTTTTTATCAATCGCCACCCTAGTAAACCGCTTCAAGGTCGCCTACCCTACACTATACTATATCACCAGCCACCTGATTATACCTTTCTTCGTGTCTTTGGTTGCGCTGTCTATCCTCTTCTTCGCCCTTATAATAAACATAAATTCTCCTTTCGTTCTACTCAGTGTGTCTTTCTTGGGTAATCTCCATCTCATCTTGGTTATCGCTGTTTTGATGTGGTAAATAACCGTCTTTATATTGCTCGTCACGTTGAGTTTGATGAGAAACTTTTCCCTTTAAACTTCCTATTTTTAGTTCTCTTTCTACGCTGCTGAAGTCTCCTGCTACCCCTTGGTTGCGTGTAACCAGTTCTCCTGGTATGCTTGCGTCGTCTTCTTCATCTCCTTCTAGTACACCAGTTCTTTCGTCTCCTCCTATCCCTCCCGACTCATCACCGTTAGCTAGATCTCCTGCATTCAGCTCTTTATCATCTGATTGCAGTCCTCCACCGTCACCTCCTCCTCCTTCTTCCCGTCAGCACTCTATGACACTTCGTCCACAACCCAAGCCCAAGAAAATCTTTGATCCCTCGGCTCATCTTACCTCTGTTTCCCCAGCCTTGTCTACTGCTCCTACATCCTTTACCCAAGCCAAATCTCTTTCCTCAGTGACAGAATGCCATGAAGGATGAAATTTCCGCCCTCCTCAAAAATAACACATGGACTTTAGTTCCCCCTCCTTCCTCCGGCAATGTTGTCGGCAATCGATGGCTCTATAAGATTAAAACTCATGCTGATGGCTCCATTGAGCGGTATAAGGCTCGGTTGGTGGCTCGAGGTTTTACTTAGTCTTTTGGGGTTGATTACACTGACACATTTAGTCCGGTTGTTAAGCCGGTCACCATTTGCTCGGTTTTGACTGTTGCCCTGGCTCGTGGATGGTCGATTTCTCAGCTTGATGTCAGTAATGCCTTTCTTAATGGAGTTCTAAGTGAGACCGTGTATATGGTTTAGCCACAGGGGTTTGTTGATCCGGTGCGCCCTCATTATGTGTGTAAACTGCATAAGTCCTTATACGGTCTTAAGCAAGCTCCTCGGGCACAGTAGTCTCAGTGGCGACTTTTCTACTTACCTTGGGTTTTGTGGAGTCTCGTTGTGATCCGTCTCTTTTTGTCTATCGCCGTGGGTCTCAGTTGTGTTTTTTGCTGGTCTATGTGGATGACATTATTATTACAGGCAGCACTTCTGGTTTGGTCCAACATTTTATCTCTTGTCTTGCTAAGGAGTTTTCTCTTCGAGATTTAGGTCCTTTAAGTTACTTTCTTGGGGTTGAGGTTCGTCCTACTCCCAAGGGTTTGCTTCTCTCTCAGCGCAAGTATGTCACTGATTTGCTACGCCTTGCAAATATGCATACTTGTAAACCTGTTTCCACTCCTTTGCAGGCTAATGTTGTGTTGTCTCGTTTGGACGGTACTCTGTTGTCTCCTGATGATGCGACGACTTATCGTCGGCTGTGTGGCAGTCTGCAGTATACGACTCTTACTCGTCCAGATATCTCCTTTGCGGTTAATAAGCTTTGTCGGTTCATGCATCACCTCGCACTTCTCATTTTCGAGCTCTCAAACGGGTTCTTCGCTATCTTCGTGGTACCATTGATTCTTGTTTAGTTCTGCATCCTCTGATTTGGGTACTCTTCTGCGTTTAGTGATCTTGATCGAATTTGGTTGTCCGGATGATCGTCGTTCTACTACTTGGTTTTCTCATTTATTTGGACCTAATCTCATTGCACAGGCATCTAGGAAGCGACCCACCGTGGCTCGCTCGTCTACGAGGCCGAGTTTCGTGCGGTTGCTCTTGCGTGTTGAAGCGCATTGGGTGTGTCATCATTGTCCGAGTTAGGCGTTTCTTTAAATCGTCTTCCCTCTATTTGGTGTGACAACAGTAGTGCAGTTTTCCTTGCTGTCAATCCTGTGTTCCATGCTCGTACAAGACATGTTGAGGTTGATTTTCACTTTATTCGAGATCATGTTCGGCGTAAGTTTGTATCGGTCAATTCTATCTCTGTTGCTGATCAGCTTGCTGATATTCTGACAAAACCCTTGTCCAAAGAGTTATTCTTTCGCTTTCGGGACAAACTTCGGCTTCTCTCTTCTCCGCCGTAAGTTTGCGGGGGCGTATTGTAATATTTAGTATATTTCCTATTATGTTCTAGTTTAGGGTTTATTATTGTCTATATATAGTCTGTATATTGTGCACAACATATGATAAATTCAATACAATTTCTCTATTCTAAATATATCATCTTCATTCGACATTCTGACAATACTTTTTGGTCACTGAGGTAAAAAGCAACATAGTACATACATACTGGAACGTGAAATTGGCACTTTTGCACATTACCAAAGTGCACCATGATGACATATATCTCGTGGAAAAAGGGGAATCTAATCCAGCTTTGAGTTGAACTTTGCATCAATTCACCTTGAAAGTAACTTAACCATGTTGAGTTCACACTCCCCTTAATCCAACTAAAAAAATGAGGCATTATTTCAAATCAAAATTTTCTAATAGAAAACTTGAATCAATTCACCTTGAAAGTAACTTAACCATGTTGAGTTCACACTCCCCTTAATCCAACTAAAAAAATGAGGCATTATTTCAAATCAAAATTTTCTAATAGAAAACTTGAATCAGGCATGCTGATTTTGATTTTATTTTATTCTTTTGCAAATTGTTTTAATGGAAATGAGCACATGGTTAATTATAAGATTATTTTGTAATGAAATGTCAATGTTTGTTAATTAGTGAGTTGTTTTTTCTAGTTAGATTTTTTTTTTTATTTCAATCACGTAGTTAGAATACGATTTAGTCGAGAACTTCCATTCATATAACGTGATCGCTTTGTGTTTTAGGCAACTGGCCTCCTCCTACCAAAAAAAAGTTTGTGAATTATGAAACTAACCAATATAATTAAAATGTTAATGTCACAAAAGAATTTATTAATTACTAAACCATAATATCATCACAAAATTGTTAAAATGATGCAAACCTAAGATATTATAACTCAATACTCATCCATGACAAAAAAATATATACTCACTTAAATTTTCATGGGATGGAAAGAATATTAAGAACCTTGTGAAAAAAAAAAAAGACAACTAAGAATTAGGAAAGTTAAAAAAAAAAAAAAGACAGAAAAATTTAGTTGTGATATATTTACAGAGAGAACAGCCTTGTATGATAAATGTAAATGGACTGTAGGCTTGTTGACGGGTGGAATTAGCTGCCAAATTAAAGGATTTAATCGAGCGTATGTATAATGACAAAGACCATGGAAATTCCGATTAATTTCGAGGAAGCCATATTTTTGTTCATTTCCTCTAAATCAATTTCTATATACTCAAATGACATAATTGCCCACAAGAATTTCATGAAATTCCTCAGGCGTCAGGAACTCCTGGAAAGAAATCTGGTAACCTTATCTTCCATTTTCCCCCGGCTTCCATTTTGCCACCAAATCCCGATTCCCTGCTGCCCAGTTGCCACCTAATCAAAACTAGAAAACCATCCCAAAAAAAGAGACCAAAAATTAAAAAATGGCGAGAATCATCTTGTCCAATGCAACCAGTTTGCTGCCTTGTATGCAATCAATTTCTCCTTCACCATCATCTTCTTCTTCAATTCCATTGAAATCCCTTCATGTTCAGAAGCAAAATGTTAGGACTGAACCCATTACTTGTAACTCACAGCTGAATCAAGATTGTTCTTTTCTCACCAAGAGAGGGCTTTGTCTGAGCCTCGCCACAGGGTTTCTGTTTTCCTTATCTGGGAAAGGTTCTTTTGATGCCAATGCTGCTATTTTAGAAGCTGAAGATGACGAGGAACTGTTGGAGAAAGTGAAGCAGGATAGGAAGAAGAGGCTTGAGAGACAGGGTGTCATCAATTCTGCTGTTCAAGAGACAGGTCCGCAACTTTCTTCTTTTTTTTGCCCTTTAGAATAGTTTGTTTTTTCTTATTTTTGTAAATGAAGGCAAATTTTACTTGTCATTACGGTAGTTTAAGGCTTTTGAGCCCTGTTTTCGGTTTTTTTTTTTTTTTTTGAGTGTCTGTTTGAATCAATTAACTGATAGCAGATGGTAAGGAGTAATTCTGTGTAGAAGGCCAAATGAATGCTCTACTTTTGATGCGGTGGGTTTCGGCAATATCTTGATGTGAAGCTCACTTTGTGAGTTGAATTGAAAATGTTGATCTTCTCGCAATTAGGTTTGCTGTAGTGTTCGGATGAACAGTGACATGCTCGTTCTTACTTAGGTACTTCAACTAGAATTCTGGAGTTGCAACTTGTCATAGTGAAAGAGGGGGTTCAAGTTTCGTGAAAGTTTTTCGTGAAAGTTAAATATGTTTACTCACAAAGAATGCCTACCACCTAAAAATTGAGAGTGAATCAGAATTGCCACCTGATCTTCTATGTTATACTTGTCAAAAGGATCCAGTTAAGAGGATAAAATAAATCAATGTATCATTATGAATGGTATTTGTCCCAAAAGTTGGGTCATCTTTCACATTGCATAATGTTCAAATTCGTGATAATTTTTCTGGAGTTGCTAATCTGTATATGAGGGATGGTCTTCCTTCGCTATCTATGGGTGAAAACACTCAGGTAGCAGAATATAGATGTATTTTTGGTTTGTAAATGAAATTGAAGAAAGTGCAAGTATATAAAGAATATCTTCCATATTGAAGTAACTTTTGGTGTTCAATTAAGTGGCTGGTTGATCTTTTTACTTGGTGGACTGGAGAAAGTGAGATGTTGATTGAAGGAACATATGCTTCTCATACTGTATAATTTTCTCTTTGTTGAGGATCTATGTTATCTTTTCACTTTAATTTTCAAGGAGTTCACTTGTGCTCCATAAATGCATGGTCCTTAATCTTCTGCATCAGTTTGGAGTCTGCTGCAGCAGAGTTCCAGAGCAATAGTGATGATAAATTATAAAGGAAATAAAAAATGAAAAGAATGAAGAATAAGGAGTAACGCCATTGTTTCCAAAAAGCATGATGTGAAAGATTTTATATTTTCAGAAGCTTCTTAGTTAATCTTGAATAGAGTTCATCATTTCACCAAAATATCTTTGATCTTCTTTTCTGTGTACACTTGGCTGCAGCGGTAACTGGCTGCCAATACAACATTTTCTCCAATCTTTTAACATGTTAAGGAAGGACATGTAATTGATGCATTGATAAAATGGAAACATCTGTTGTTTGCATCCTGGCCAGAGTTTTAGGTTTGCACAAGTTTTGGAAATTTATCAATTATTGTCTTTTAGTGTTGCAGCGTACTTGCAAGATCTTGTTTACAAGCTCAGTATGGTTGGCCAGGCTATAGAGAAGAATGATCTACCCGCAGCTAGTTCAGTTCTTGGTCAAAGCAGTGATACTGATTGGGTTCTAAAAGTCAAGTCAGCCTTTAACAAGGTCTCTTTCTTCTGCTGTGCTTTTCAAACTTTATTTTGCAACTCTTCCAATCTTTGCATTTTCAAAAGCTGTTGCTTATATTTGCAGTTGAGCTCCAGCCCTGAGGAGAAAAGTGAAGTAGAAACGTTCAGTACCTCGCTTGATTCTCTGATATCCTCTGGTGAGTACTTCATCACAAGCATGTTAGACATGTCCTTAGTGCTTTAATCTAGCTAGACCCCAACAAAAGGGTTGCTGTATAGAGTATTTGTAACAAATGTAAATGAACCAACATAGTTTAGTTTGTCTGAATTGAAGATGCTGTGATGAACCAACATAGTTTAGTTTGTCCCGATTGCTACCCTAGATGCTTTAAGAAATGTGATTCTTTTGTGATACACAGTGACCACAAATGATATTCAAGCATCCAGAATAGCTTTTGTGGCTTCAGCAAGCGCATTCGAGAAGTGGACAACATTGACAGGGTTAAATGGAAAGCTTAAAGGGCTTTGAAGTTTGAAGTAAAGCTGGTCCCTCCAGAGAGAATTTCACCAAATTTTCCCTGCTAGATTTGAAGAGCTTTTGCATTTCGCTCTTTTTGTCTCTATGAGTTGTAAATTTCTCAAGCTTTGTAAAACAATAAGAACTGTGCTCAAGTTTTGTTGTGATTATACGTATACCAGTAGTTTTTTCCTCTCCGCGGCTAAGCGGGGCCATTATTATTTATTTTAAATCTTTATGATAATCTTTCTTTAATATTTTGGATTCTTGAAATTATATCCCGTATAAAGTAGTTTGTGTTCAAGTTTATACGGACTGTGAATCTTTGACCGGAGATTCACGGTCTGTTTTAATACCTTCTGAGGCCCAGGATGTGGTTTCTTTGTTAGTTACTTGTATTTCTTTATTTCAGTCTTGCTCACTGATTAAAGTGATGAGGCAAGATGTCGTAAAACTACATAATTTAGTATTTCATAGAATGCGATGTAATAGTTTAAATACTTCTTAACTAATATATCGACACCTTTAAAAAAAAATAGTTTGTGATAACCATTAATTGTTTAACATACATTCTCATGTTTGATTTGAATTTTTGGCCGAGTAGTGCGGTTATCTATAGTATATTATACTAAGAGAGAAACCAGAGAGAGAAAATAAAAAAAAATTCTAAAGGTGACATATAGCATAAAATCCTATGTGTCATTTTTCTATTGGTTGAGTAAAAAAATATTTACAACAATTATACTAATAGTCCTTCAAATTTTATGTAAATAAAGTTTTATCAAATGGCATTTAAAACTATAGTTTAAAATAGGAAAATAAAAATTAATTAAATTTAATGAACGGGATTAATAAACATTAATGCACCAGAATTATTCCCTCCCAAAAATAATCCCCAATTAGTATTAATTGATTGATTTAAATTATAAGTTCAAAAGGATAAGGCATTTATTATTTTCAACATTAATTCACAAGGATTTTTTACCCCAGCCAATTCGAATAAAAAAAAAATCCCTCCATAAAATAATCCCTAAAATCACTACTTGATTGATTTAAAACCTAAGTTCAACGTGAGGGAAAGTGGGAATTCTTTAGTGATTAAAAACTAATCAAATTTAATTAAAAAGACTAATCACATTAATGCAATGGAAGTCATTTCCCCACCAATCTTATCCCTTAATCAACGTGATGTTATCATCTTTATTTCATAATTATGAATTTTACTTTAGTTACTGGTTATGATATCTCATTCAGACATTCACTATAAATATTCACTTCGATCTAACTCTAACATGTATAATGACAACCGGTGAAACACTGAAGCAAAGCATCTTATATACTTTACAAAACATCTTTGCGGCGACGACCTCACTCCGATCATGTTTTATTTAACATGTAAGGTGTCTCTTTCTCCAATTGTTTGCAATCTTGATTAACATGCGTTTTTAACCGTGTAGACATAAATTGCTTTGATTTATATGACATGTAACATCTGATTTATTATTTTGGTGGTCTTTTTTACTTTTATTTCTAGATAATCCTTATACATATTCCATTATTTAATTACATTTTTGGCATACAATTTATAAAATGTTGTCATTTCAAAGTATATATAACAATTTTATTTATCACGATCTAATTTAATTTTAATCAGATATTTATTATTACAAACCAATTATTTTATTTGTATTAATCACATTTAAAATTTAAAAATATATTTTAATAGATGTATATGTATAAACCCCGCACATCGTGCGGGCTTAACATCTAGTAAGAAAGATATGAGAATGCACTTATAATGCATCATTGGAAAATTGAATCACTCCATCCCTTCTAAAAAAGGTCAACTTTTAGCAAAAAAATAAATAAATAAATTCTAAAATAAATGTGATTTCAGTGCTATATTTGTTAAATTTTTCAAAATTACCATTAAAAAATGTTAATATTATGGTCTTTTTTTTAGTTTAATGAGATTAGCCGAGGATGATATTTTTTTTTATCTATCCTATTTAAATTTCTTAAATTGTATGTATGTTGTCTAATCCCTTTTTACTTATTGAAAGTAATTATCACTTAAGACACGTGGCAGCTACTTATGAAGTATTTGCCCTCCCAAAATATTCAGCTCTATGTTAGGTCATTTAGTGTGTAAATATGGAAAAATAAAAACAAAAAAATATAATATATCTCTTAATCTTTTCAATTCCTAAATTTTTGCAGTTAATTGAAGATCTCGTAAATCAACCGATAATTGATTACTACATTTTAATGTGAAGCTGGCCGGGTTTTTGCTCGGATTGAGAATTTTAGTTACACTTAAGACACGTGTGCAATTTGAGGAGAAACAGGAGAGATTCGGATTTCTGAAATCCGAGTTTGATGGGACTATATATAGCCGGTCAACTCTTCCCCTTCCTATTTTTCCCCCAATTCTCCATTTTAAAAAACCCTAACTCTTCCCCCAATTCCTATCGGCGACCCTCTTTCCCACCGGCGACCCTCCCTGGAACTCTCCTCCTCCCTGAATTCCGGAACCGGTGACCCTCCTCTCCTCCCGGCGAATTCCTCCGGAACCGGCGACTGCACTCCCGGCCAATTCCTCCGGAACCAGCGACCCCCTCCTCTCTCGGCGACTCCCCTCCCTCCAACTCCCTCCACTCCCGGTGACTCCCTCCTCTCTCGTAAGTTTTTTTCTCTTTATTTTTTTTTTCAATTTTTTTTTTGTGAAATCCGAATGTTTTTTTTTTCCTAATGTGTATTGTTGTGGTGTGTGAATTTTGAATTGGTTTGTGTTGTATTGATTAGTGAATTGTGTTGGTTTGTGAATTGTGTTGTATAGTTTTGTATAATTAAAACCACAAAACGTAGTTAGTTGTGTTGATATAAAGTTTGTGTTGGATTTGTATAGTTTTGTTAATTGTGAATGTTAGTTTTGTTGATATAGTGTTAGTGTTTTTTTCCGGATGTAGTTAAACGGTGATAAGTAGTTTAGTTTATTTGGAGCGGTGAGTATATATGTGGTGCATTGTTATTGTGCAATATGTAATTGGGAAATCCGAACGTAGTATTATTGTTTTTGTGCATATTAGTGTGGTTTGTATTGTGTATTAGTTTGGTTTGTGCATGTTAGTATGGTTTGGATTGTGTATTAGCATTATTGTTTGTTGTTGTGCATTGTTGTTGTATGAGTTAGCGCACTAATGAGTTTCTTTGGTTGCCTTTGTGTAGGATTGCAATGGCGGAAGAGGCATCGGGCTCACAATATGAATATCAACCTAAATATCTTCACCCGGGGCCGATACAAGATAACATGCTATATCGTCAAGCAAAGCATAGGTGCCAAGCTGTCCACGAGAACAAGATCGACAACATTAAAACATTCCGCCTCAAGGGCCGTAGATACGATGGCGATTTTTGGGGGATATACAAAGATACGGCACCGGAGGTTAAGGAAGTCATTCAGAGAGTCGGTTTTGAGGGGATTATGAAAGTAGGGTACAAAAAATTGGATCTCGGTCTCATTACAGTGTTGGTGGAACAGTGGAGGCCAGAAACCCACAATTTCCACTTTAATTTCAGAGAGGCGACTGACCCTATAGGATGTCGAGATCCGCTTTGGTATTCGGGTGGATGGTGACCCGGTGTACAGAACGACAGTTAGCCGGAGTGCAGATGAATGGCGGGATCAATGAGATTTATTTGAGATTCCGGCCAGTCCAAGTAAATGGCCAATTGTCAATGTTGGTATTTTCGAGGATGAGATGGCCCGTGCACTCCCGGAGGATTCCACGGTCCAGTGATTTGAGTAAAGGGCCCGGACACTTATACTGCATTTTAGTAGCAGTTTCATGTTTCCTAACAAGACACAAAACACTGTCAATCTGCAGTTCTTGGCCCAAGTTGATGATTTGGATCAGTGTAGTCGATACAGTTGGGGATCGACACTGCTGGCTGGTTTGTACTCTGGACTGTGCGAGGCATCCCAGTACACCATGCACGACGCCACTGGCTGTCTATATTTGCTACAGGTACGTCTTAGTTTTCAATTGGTGTTATAATTGTTTTTTGCTTTCGACGTTATAATTTGAAGTTTTAACATTATTATTGAAATTTACTAGGTATGTGCATATGAGCGGATCGAGATAATCGCGCCACAAAGAAAAGGAGTAGATTATTTGATTGATGAAACCGCTCCATTATCTCAGCGGTACGTATTTTCATTTCAAAATAACTCCATGTTTATTTCTATTTGTTTCTTATCCATCTTTTTTACTAATTCAAATGTACCCCTTCGTGTTTGTTCATTAATATGGTGATGTAAGTACACCTACGGAGACGCTCCAAGGAGCAGCACCCCACCTTTTAGAGATCAATTAACAAGCCTGCGTGTTGAAGATATAAGTACTTAATTTGGTATTTATATTTTTGAATTTCTTTTCGTTGCGGTTATAACATCTAAAAAAATTCTTTTCGTGCAGTTTCGATGGTAACCATATGCAAAGGTCCTTCATAGACTCCCTGATTTCTGTAAACAAGGCCAAGTCATTTGGACATTTGGACGACCAGGTGTTGGATGTTCTGTTGGGCTATTAGGGAACCCCACGAGTCGTGCAGAGTTGTGAGACAATTTGGATACATACAGAATGTTCCCAAGCGCCTTATGATTAGAGATAATGCAGCATTTCTTCTCGATCACACCCACAGTATGTCTGGGTATCCTAGCAACAATTGGGTGGATCATAATTCTGCAGTACGTCGTCATTGGAATAGGAGAGAAGAGTACGTGCTACGAGATTTGGAGGAAGGAGACCCTGGCTCCGTATATGAGGGGTACTATGAATGGTTCATGGTGAATACTGTCAAGCTGATATCCAATCCCGGTAATTATGAACCTAAACGATACGAGACTTCTTCGAGCTGAGTGAAATTACATGTGAGTTCATTCTATATATATATATATATTTTATTTCTTATGTTTTCCTTTTATTTATTTATTTTTTTTGAAATTTCACTCTCTTAATTAACGTCCCAATTTCTTTTCAGGGTGAAGTATTGAACAACATTCGCGTGAGTTCCGAGAAGTTTAGAGAAAAACGAGAAGATGCGAATACCCTAGACGAAAAACTCGACGCGCATTTGAACGTATCATCAATCAAACACATGCTGCTTTAACCCTGGGTGCAAATGATGAGATGGACGTGGAGGATACCCAAATCCTGGTTAATGAAGAATCATCTTTGACATCGCATCCTCCGCCGGGTAAAAAAGCAAAACCGTGGTCGAGAGATAAGATTGGAGGAGGAAGAAAGAGAAAGGTCCCAATCCCCCCTCGTACATTACAACAACAAACTGACTGTCAACAAAATGAGGATCAAGTACATTCTTCTCGAGGCTCGCGCATCCAGGTCGAGACTCAATTTAAAGACCTTGGTGGATCCGAGACTCAGTTTGACCTTGGTGGACTCGAGACTCAGTTTGACCTTGGTGGACCTGAGACTCAGTTTGACCTTAGTGGACCTGAGACTCAGTTGCGTGGACCGTCGCATCCACAACCGGAAGTTCGATTTCTCACCATGGGGGAGTCCCAATCTCAACTCCAACCGCGTCAACAACAGAGTTTAATACTCACGTATCTTAAGAGGGGAGACAGGAACCGGCAGAGCCCAGATAAATACACTCCGGATTGCATAATAAAAGAAAAGGAAAAAAATGAGACCTTTGATGTATTTTGCACATTTAAAGTAGCTTTTGTATTGATTTTGGTTTGAAACTTGATTTGTTTCGTTGTTAATCGAATGTCGTTTATTGTTTTGTTGCCAATAAATTTCTGTTTTCTAATGTTTCATTGTTATTGGTACTGTAAACATGTTTTGGATTGGTTAAAACGAGTCCAATTTTTTTTTTCAGTTCTGACATAGAGTCGGATTTGGGAAATCCGAAACCCAGTCTTTTTGTTCCAAATCCGAATAGGTAGCCAACTGGGAATATTTTTTTTTTTTTTTACAGAAAACAGAGGAGATTCGGATCCGTATCTCCATAAATTCGGATTTTCGTGATCCGGATTTACCCAAATTTAATTTTCCAACACTTATATTTTTTTTCTATCTAGAAATCAATATTTTATTCGTAAATATGGATTTCGCAAATCTGGATTTAAATTAATTACACTAATTCCTGTCATTAATTTAATATCGGATTTACATAACACAAATTCGGATTTCCCTCATCCGAGTTTATTGGAGTTCGGATTTCATAAATCCGAGTGTACCCCGAATTCGGATTTCCGAAATTCATGACATATAAGTTTGTCCACAAAACTTTTTGAAGGTTTATTTTTATCCAGGTATATTTAAGGAAATATCTTTAAGGAAAAAATTCCAAATGGGTTCACAACGGGCTTTGCTCTTTAAAGTAGTCATTTTTTTATTTTTTATTTTTTTGGAAGAGGTCAAATACCTCAGAGGGGTTTTTCTAAATTTTGCTTAGAAGTGGAAAAAAAAACACACTAATAGATTTAAGGTACTTGTTAATAACAATTTAATCTTTTCCTTCATGATAATCTATTAATATGTCCCTCATCAACTAAACAGCACAGATGCCAAAGAGTCTGTAACCAGTGCACCTGAAGCACCGTGTACACGTTCTTATTTTTTGCATTATTAGTCCTTATTGTACTTTTTTCTCAATCTTCCTATAATTTGCAAGTTTAGTCCCTATCATTTTTTTTTCTCTCTTCCAAAAAAACATCTCTAATCTTTAAACGACCATATCTCATGATCCGTAAAAAATTAGAGAACGTGTTATACATGAATCTTATAGTACTCGCCGAGATCTATTCAACAAGATCCATGTCGAATATTTTTTTTCCAACTTAAAAATGACCAAATTTTGATGGGCAGAAACAAAGAAATTTATACCTTCATTCGGATGGATATCCAGTTTAAAAAGATGGATAAGTGATTATTTTGTATTGATATTTTCTTGTAAAATTTGTATCTTTTGATCCGTAAAGAATTAGAACACAAATTATATATGAAATTTATAGTGCTCGACGAGATCTATCCGATAAGATCAATGTTGAATATTTTTTTTGAACGTTAAATGCATTTAAATCTTACGGGCAGAAATGACTAAACTAAAAAATGGTTATCCGTTGTGTTCGTATTGATTATCTAACCGGTTTGGACTGGTTATCCATTTTGTTCATACTGGTTATCTAACCGGTTTGCACTGATCACCAAGAAGTTGGATAATCAATAGCGTGGATATCCAGTTCAAGAAGATGGATAACCAACTTATTTTAAATTGGTTATCCATCGTGTTCATACTGATTATCCAACTTGTTTGTGCTGGTTATCCAACTTGTTTGTACTGGATATCCATCCATTTGCTTTGTGTGCCGATCCAACTTATGTGTGCTGGTTATCCAACGGATTTACATGCTTATCCAAATTGTTTGTCTGGTTATCCACTGTGTCCATGCTGATTATCCAACCGGTTTGAACTGGTTATCCATTTTGTTTGTACTGCTTATCCATTCCATTTGGTTTGCATGCCTATCCAACTTGTTTTGTAGATGTAATCCAACGGGTTTGTGTCCGTATCCAACTTGTTTGTACTGGATATCCATCCATTCAGTTTGTATGTCTATCCAGCTCATGCGTACTGGTTATCCAACGGATTTATATGCCTATCCAAATTGTTTGTACTTGTTATCCAACTAATTGGTACTGCTTATCCAACCGAGTTTTTTTTCCTTAAAATGGTTATCCATTTTATTCATACAGATTATCCGAGCGGTTTGAACTGATTATCCATTTTATTTGTACTGGTTATCCAATCTATTTTTTTTTTAGAAAATCATTGCCCAATGTGTTAATACTGGTTATCCAACTAATTAGTACTGCTTATCCAACCTAGTTTTCTTTTTATTATTTTTTTTTAAAAAAGAAATGGTTGTCCAACGCGTTCGTATAGATTATCCAACTGCTCGGTATGGATTATCAGACCATTTTTTTCTCTACTCTTCGCGAAAATCCTTGTCCATTTTTTTGTACTGAATATCCAACCGTTATGTATTGGTTATCCAATTTTTTTCGCTGATTGTCCAAACATAATTTCTCTTCTTTTTTTTTTCTTTTGAGAAAATATGTGTCCAATGCATTCATACTGATTATCCATCCGACTTCTTGGTGATGGATGTTATCCAACCTTTTTTTCCCCTTGCTCTTTTCATGAAAATGATTGTCCGATTCTTTTGTACTGGTTATCCAACCAGTTTGTACCGCTTATCCAATTATTTTCAATGGTTATCCAAGTAGTTTGTAATGGTTATCCAATCATTTTTTTCTCTTTTTCTTTTCCTAAAAAAATAGCTGTCCAACGTCGTTGTACTGGTTATCCAACACAAATAATTTCTTCATTTTTGCCAGGAGTATTTTAATTTTTTTATTTTTTGAAATTAGTACTCGATATTGATCTTATCGGATAGATCTCGTTGAGCACTATGAATTTTATATATAATTCGTGTTCTAATTCTTTACGGATCAATAGATATATATGTAATACAAGAATGCCAATCTAAACTAAGTTGGTTATCCATCTTTTTAAACTAGATATCCAACTTAATTCTGTCCAAAGAAATTTGATCATTTTTAAGTCCGAAAAAAATATTCGATATGGATCTTGTTGGATAGATCTCGACGAGTACTATAAATTTCATGTGTAACACGTACTCAAATTCTTCACGGTTTGGAAGATATGCTCGTTTGAAGGTTAGAGATATTTTTTTAAAGAGAGAGAAAAAAGTGACATGGACTAAACTTTCAAAATATAAAAATATTGACAAAAACTACAATAAGGACTATAAATGCAAAAAATAGGAGGGGGAGCATGGTGTTCTCGGGTGCACTCGATAAATTGCCATGCCAAATTTCCCCTCTTGGCCTTACCTAATGGGCACAACACCAATTTGAAAAACTAGGGGGGAAGAAGAACGAAGTTGTTCAAAATACTTTGAATATTTCATTTATTTATTTGGTACAATAACCTACCATTGAGTTTGTTTGATTAGATTGGACCCCTTCCCTAACATTTTATTATATATAAATAATACACACACTCAAGGAAGCCAAAGGCTAAACAACCCTAAGAATTTGGGATGAAACTAGTCTATCTACCTTTAAACGAGGCCTTGTCAAAATATGATTTCTACTAGGGCACGAGAGTCTGATTTTTGCCAAGGAGCTTCAGCTCCCCATACCAGCTTCTACATTGTTTATGAGAAGGCCGCCAGCTGCCACCTTCCCCGTCGTAGCCACCACCCACCACCCCTTGCCTATCATTTGAACAATTACCATCTTGCATTAGCGACGTCTAAAGACCCACAAACCCATAAATATTTGGATACTTTAGAGCCCAATTTTTGTAACATACACAATTCTAAGTCTTGAATCTGCGAAGTTGTTGCTCTCACAAGAATTCAAACAACGATTTGAAACTACACACAAAATGATAAATTATCAAATAATAAAACTGCATGTGAGGCTTATTTTCATCAGTAAGCATGGCAAAGATGATAAACAGTGAGCTCATCTCAATATGAAGACTCGCTGCCAGCGTATCACAAGACATAACAATATTGACGTGTTAATGCAAGGTATATGACATACCCAATCTTGGATGACCAAGACATCTCAATTGTAAATAAGAAGTTGCCTTATTACAACAATATATAGACACAGCTCTGTTCAACGTTTTACACAGATCTATGCAACCTACAATTTCTTCAATGCAAATGCCGATCCAAATGTTGAAAGGCCTACTCTATAAGGTAGCAACATTCGAAGATCCATCTTCACTACGAGTTCCTTAAAAAACCAGAAGAAAGCTGCCACATTATCTAGCTATTCTATGACTTTTACATACAGAACATGTCTCACAAACAATCAGAATATCTATCATTCAACAACAAGACTAATGTCATTTATAAGAAGCCACAAGCCTAAGATGGTCAGGAAGACTACGAGAAAAGCAGCATGACATTTGATAAGTCAGGGCTGGATCTCATTACCCTTCACATTGCTGCCATTCTGAGTCTTATCACCCTCTGCTGCTTTACTTGTGACATTGCTCTTCCCATCAGAACCAATTTTTACTTCAGTCTTTTGGTCTTCATTATCCTTCCTTTCGACTTCTTCACCACCAGTTGCTGCTTTGTCACCATCTTCAGTCCCATTGTCTTTCTCTGCTTCAGCTGGTGTGTGCTCGATTGTAGCTTTGGCCTGGGCATCCCCCAGTCCCTTTTCCTCACCTTGTGCAACTTCAGAGCTGTCAGTGACCTTCTCAACCACGGTCTCATTGGAGTTGCTAACTTGTGCTACAATATTCTTTCCACCCTCCTCAGGTTCATCTGGTACTTTGCTATCCTTCTCCATCTTCTCATTGATAGAATCATCTTCTGCCTTGTCATCTGTAGTTGCAGTTTTGCTTTCGGCTTCTATCTCCTTCACATCATCTTTCTTAGGGTCTTCAGCTACAACAGACTGGCTTTCACCCTTCCCCTCCAGTTGGCCTGCCTTCGGAACATCTGTTTCAGTTTCTGCGAGAGTCTTCTCCTTCTCTGAATTTTCTTCTTCCATTTGCACATCCTTAGCAATCTCAGTTCCCTCAGAAGTTTCTTTCTTTTTTGAACCTGAAGATTTTCTTGGTTTTTTCTTTGGTGACTCACTCTCTGGAGGGGGAGCTGCCTTGACTCTTTCACTGATCCTTGTGGATCTTCTTGGAGTTTCACCAGTTCCCCAGTCAAACTCAGAAATTCGCGGACCCCCAGGGTGCGATTTCAGGTACAGGTCCAACTGTTTCCTGGTGGTGATCTCATCACCAGTGGGGGCCGTGAATATGATCTCATTCTTCTTTGGCGTACCTCCTTTTTGAAGTATCAACTACATGGAAAAATAGAAATGCAATGAGGTCACCCCCCAAAAAAGCTACTAGTTAAAACAGAACAAAGACAACTTAAGTCTCCGAATCAGACAAAGGGAATCTCAATGAATGATTCCTGGTCACCAAAACAGACGGATGAAAGTGTAAATTGATAGAGCAACAGACAAAGAGTGGTAAGTTCAGAAGGACAAAGTCATCCCAAAATGTATTGGTTGAAAACCCCAGATGGTAATCCATAGATAAGCATGCATTACAGCATTAGTTCCTGAAAGGCAAAGTGAACTAAAACATACTGATAGGCACAACGAGCAAAGCAGAACCATGACTTTTCCAAAAATTGATTGACTACCAATAGTAGTTGTTAGCTTCCCATTTCCTTAGGGAAGGGTATTTGACAGAAATGTTAAATTCCACCCCTAAGAAAAACATCCAAAGCAATCAATTCACAAACTTTTACCTAAACTAACAGAATCCTGAGACAGAAAAAGAAATCAGCAATATTATCACGTTAGAATTTGGTGTTCATACACCCTTTGATGAGCAAAAGCTGGGAGCTTTAGCCAAGGGTTCCATGCTCCAATTTAGTATGATGAATTGAAAGACTTCTTTACTCTACATCTAGAGAGCATTATATAATACACTCAACTAATGATACATGTATGTATAAAAGTAAATCTAACTGTATTATGTAAGCAAATAACTAATAAGAGGTGCAATCATTTGGACAATTTTGACAGAGCCACTGCATGATGACATCACATATCGAATCACCACTTATTCTTTGCGTCTTGTTCAAGTTAACACATGCAATCACAAAAAAATATCTCAATCCATTTATGGCGTGAACACATTTTTAAGAACGGATTCCATTTCATGCTAAAACTCAGACATAAACACCTCAAGTCAACAGAGCCAAGCCATGATACTTTTGGAAACCCAAAAAAAATAAGGAAAAAAAAAAAAAGAAAAAAGAAAAGAAAAGAAAGTTTCTTGAGGAGTCTCTAATGCACCATATAATGACATTATGATTCAGGTATATCAAAACCAAATCAGTAAAAAAAGCCCTACAAGGTATCTATATAATTAGAAAGAAACCTAGGATTGGGTGCAAATAAAACCATCCAGCAAACAACAATCAAACAAAAGTAGAACTCACAAATCAAGGCAGCCAGACCGTGTGAAGCTAAGGGAACAGTAACACATTTTGTGCCGCAGGTTAAGAAAGATTAAAAATTAGGCTAGCCCAAGGCAGTACAACAAATATTGGAAATCTGACACCAACCAAGAACATCATAAAAATGCATGCACAAACAAAAGTTTCAAAACTCTGACAAAAGAAGCTGGGAACTTCAGCCAAGGGGCTCAATGCTCCAATTTAATGAGACAAGATTGTGGCCAGAAAATGACAAATTGAAGACTTCTCAACTCTACATCTAGAGGCCATTACATGATACACTCACATATAGAAAACTGTACGCAGAAAAGTAAATTTGTATGTAGAAAACTGTATGAGATGCAGTCACTTGGCAATCTCGACAGCGCCACTGCATCATGGTATGTCGAATTGGATCATCGCTTATTCTTCTCGCCTTGTTGAAGTTGCAAAATGCAATAATCAATTGGATAAAAATGCATTTATGTCGTGAAAGATATTTTAGATAATGGATTCCACATCACGCTAAATTTGGAAACAGTTTCTTTAATTCCAGAGAACAACTTCCTGAAGCCTCAGGAATGTTACCAAACAAGACATTTCCCAATACGCCGTAAAAAGCACACAGACAATTAAGGAGAAACCTTGGCTTTGGTTGCAAGTAAAGCCATAAACTAATTCCGAAACAAAACTAGAGCTCACGAAGCAAGGCAGCCAGAAACTGTGAAGCTAAGTAATTAGCAACATATCATGTGCAGCAGGTTAAGAAAGATTGAAATTAGGCTAACCCAAGGCAGCAGGACAAACTTCTGAAACAGCATGAAAATGCACCCATAAAAAATACGGGATATCTGATTCCAATCAGAAGCAGCAAAAAAATGCACCCACAAACAAAAGCAAAGGTTTCAAACTTCTGAAGAAAAGGTCTAACAGCTAAAAATTGAATGAAATCACCGATTAAGACACCAAAGTTCACAAGGAAAGACGGCAAACTAACATCGGGAGAGGGAAGCAGAATCATAAAAACAGCAATTCCACAAACCCTAGTTGTGCTCATAACAAATGTCAACGTAAATTAGGTCCGATTCCTCCTCAAAAACCACAAATTACAGGAAATTGGGGTCACCCCAGAACCATATTCGGCAAAATTAACTAAAATTACCCCAAAAAAACCTAATCAAACTTCACAAATTGCAGCAATCAAATGCACCGGTTAAATTCTCCAACCCCCACCTCAAAGCCCCACAATGAAAACCCCCGCATAAAACAATTCAGTAGGAAAACATCATAAAATGCAAAAATAAACCCCCAAAAAAGAGAGGAATCAAACTTTACAAAGCCAAACCTCAAAAACACATGCACACAGATAACAGGTGTGAAATTTAAAAAAAAAAAAAAAAAAAAGAAGGTGAAGAGAACAGAGAAGGGAAACACAAAGAAGAAGAAAACGAATAAACCTTCTTGGTCCAGCCAGAGGGAGCAGGGAGTTCCAAGCACACAACATCATTCACCTCCTCGGAGCTCGCCATTTTTGTAAAAAAAAAAAAAAAACCTGCGGATTTCCCAGAAGCTCTTTAGCTTTTTTTGGTATTGTTTTATTTTACAAAAAAAAAAAGTTAGTTTAAGAAATGAACTGCAGCAACAGAGAGAGTCAGACTCAGGGGGGACCAACTAACTTTTAACTTAATAAAATAACAACTGCAGCGGCTACACACAGTCACGTACAATTGTGTGTCTTAAATTTTGGATTCCCTTTTATTACACAGATAATCTATGTAAGATTATCTCATCAGTTTTTTTACTCTTTTTGTCTTATGGTAATAATCCCCCAAAATAAGGGTCTCATTTTCATTTATATATAATTACTGTATTTCCATAATTAAAATTATACATATAATAATCTGAAGTTTTTTTACGGATACTGCTTTATTTTTTTTTTAAAAAAAAAACTTTGAGAGTAATGACAAAGACTCGCACGAGGGAAAACACGTTGGTGGGGAAAATTTTTTTAATGAGCTTTGTTATGACTTTTTGGCTTTATTCACTTTTATTTGTATATTTAATAAATATGTTTTTTCTTTTCTCTCTCTTAAGGTTTATCTTTTGCCTTTCGTGTGCCGATTGACACTTATCCGATTTCCCCTCTTTTATTTATTTTTGTCTTAATAACAGTTTTGTTTTTTGGTTGACTGCCTAAATATTGTTATTTAATAAATGATCATTAGTTATTTAATTATTGATTCATTAAATATCACAAAATGCGATACTGATTTTTTTTAATACATTGAATGGACTGCAGCTTCTTGCATCCATCCATCATCCATGCATTGAGAGGAGAATGGTTTTTGTTATTAGTAAATGGGCTTTGGTTGATTTGGTATGCTATTAGCACCCATGTAATCATGGTTTGGCCCATTACACAATGAAAAGTTGGAATCTTGGTTCAATTGTGGGCTTTCCCCATTTCTTTTTCCCATCCATTTTCTCGGTCGAAAATATTCATTTGTACCAACCAGCGCTTAGATCAGTTGGCAGGATGCTGATCCAGTTTAAGAAGAGATCTCGGGTTCGAGACCTTGCGTACGTAGCCGTGTTAAAAGGATGGATGGTGGAGGTTGCCTCCTGAAAGAGACCTACCCGCCTCGAGTCCGGATTAGTCAGCAGTCAGTCGACACCCACGGGTGTAACGATAGCGGCTAGATATCGGATACGTATGTAAAAAAAAATAAAAACAAAAATATACATTTGTTGTTAGTTGGAAGCATAGTAACACCCACGGGTGTAACGATAGCGGCTAGATATCGGATACGTATGTAAAAAAAAATAAAAACAAAAATATACATTTGTTGTTAGTTGGAAGCATAGTAGAAGATGTTGATGTTTTGAATTTAATAAGCATAATACACTGTTACTTGAGCATGGAATAACCTTAAATCTTTTGGCCAGCTCTCTCACCCATCGAGGTACCTACCATGAGTGAGGGGCCAGCTCTCTCACCCATCGAAGTACCTACCATGAGCGAGGGAGATTAGTCACTGTTGTCGACGGTGGACACCCTTCAAAATGGAAAAAAAAAAAGCTCTATCTTAATTTGTAGTTCTTAAGTTCTAGTAATGTGTATATATATATTTCTTTTCTCTTTTCCGAAGAGTGTGGAAACAATCATTTCATTCAGTTGTAGTTCAATCATGTTGGTGATACATTCTCAAGAAATTATTTTTCCTTAAAAAAAATTAATAAGAAAGGAGGTCTAACCCTAAAATCTTTAGTTAGAACAAGTCGCGAGCAAAAAAAAAAAAAAAAAAATCCTATTCTATCGTGTTTAAAAAAGATTTGTTTTTTACAAGAGGATCACATAACATGTGAAACCCCTGGAACTGTAGCAAAGAGGCCCAATAGATTGTATCCTTATGTATACCATAATGGTGAACTCAAAATATACATGCGAAATATGTTCTCTAGCTAGTTACATTGAAGAAGTGGATTCCTCGAAGTAAAACCAAGAACGTTACCAACCATCGCTTGGATCAGTTGGCAGGGTGCTGATCCAGTTTAAGCAAAGGTCTGGGGTTTGAGACTCTGCGCATGCAGCCGTGTTAAAAGGCTGGTTGGTAGAGGTTGTTTTCCGAAAAAGACTTATCTACCTCGAGTCCAAATTAGTTAGCGGTCAGTCGACACCCACGGATGTAACGATAGCGACTGGATACCGGATACGTATGTAAAAATAAACAAAAAAAATAAATAAATAAAAAACCAATAACGTTACAAAAAGAAAAATATTAATAAATGAAATAATGAGACATACATGGAAGAAGTTACAAGAAATAATGAGAAGAAACGATGTAAAATGGATCACATTCATTTACTTCTATACTTCAATTTTCATTTGAGGTTTGAATATTTAAAGTTCAGAATAAATAGTTTTGATTGTAAATACATCATGCTTTATAAATTTTCATTATAATTTTTCCTTGCATATATCATTATTCAAACATTTAAAAATTTAGGTTTTTTCTTTTTTTTTGGGATAGTTTAGCATTTTACTTGTTGGTGGTGCAGATTACTACCATGTTACAAAGTTTGAATATCCAAAAAAAAAAAAAAGAAATAAAGAAGAATTAGTATCACACAATAACTTCAAGTTGATAAGACGACCCTACTAATACAGCAAATTGGTACACTTTGAGACCCAACATTGTGTGGTTTCAGGGAGCCTATTCACTTTGAACAGTGGCCTTTTCTTTCAGTGATGCTTGCTTTTCTTTTTGGAGGAGATTTCGAAATTACTCACTAATAAAATTAAAAAGAAAAAAAAAAGATTAGAAACGGGTCCGATTGATATATACCGTATAGTTTACACGTAAAACGAATAATTTAAACATTGAAAATCAGAATACATACGTTTTTAATGTTTATGAACACAATTTAACCATACAAACCAAATTTTTTTTTAACTTTTTTTAACAAAACCAACCAAAAAAAAAAAGAAAAAAATTCAACCCATGCAGAATGTATACGTTTCTGAAGGGTTGGAGGGGGTGTCTGGATTAGATGTGGGTTAGTCAGAAGAGATGATGATGTGACAAGATATGAATTGAATGCTTTTTTATCAGACATGAATTTGACGTTTCAGATTCTGTCCTAAAACTCTCTCATTATTTCAACTCCCTTTTTCCAATATATAATATTCACAACATACTCTACAGTGTAATCCCTACCTAGCTAATGAGTTCTGTATCTATTCTTTGTTATATATTTATTTTTAATTTTTTACGGGGGGGAAAGCAGCCAGCTTATAGCAGAACCTAATGAACTCGATCATTAACTTCCTAATGAACTAGTTGTTGTAGTATTGTGCGGGAGAAATGAAAATTGTGAAAATACATAATGATTAGCGAGAAGTTCAAATTTCTAAAAAGAGCAATCCATAAAGGGGAAAAAAAAAAGAAAAAGAAAAGAGTTTGTGAGGTGAAACGCATGAACTAATTGTTTTTATTAAATTTTTGTTCAATAAATGTTTACTACCTTTAACTTATAACTATGGGTGATAAATGATCCTATATATATTATTAAGGGTTTTATTACATTACAAAACTTTTTTCTTTTTTTTTTGGCTTGTTTAAGTGAGTAATATTACATATTGTGAAATATAGGAGCCGGGGAATCAGATAAACTAATAGAAAGTTAGAAACCGTTTGTTTCTTACTTAAGACGAACAAATTATATTTGATTTCAGATTAGTTGAAGTAATGAATTCCGACAACAAGTAATATGAACGTCGGACAAAATTAACTCGAGGATTGGATGTTTGAAACAACGGAATCAAAGTGGACAAAAAAAGGGTGATGATTTTTTATTTTTTTTCTTTCAAAAGGTTTTTGTTGTGCTGGCCAGCAAGCTGGGGGGAATGAGTGTGTAAGATATGATTCACAAGATCAATACTCATAGATTGGATGCCCTGAAGACTAAGAAATATAGAGCTAGTGGTCCATGTTTATACATATATATAAACTCTTCATTTCTCTCTCTTTTTTTCTCCATTTCTCTCCCCTCTAAGTTGAAGAATTTGATGATAGTGCTGTATGTATAGACACTAGAAGACTTTTGTATCCCCCCCCCCCAAAAAAAAAAATCAAAAAAGTTATGGGATCAGTTATACACCAACAAATTACACATCACACAACCTGGTAAAAGTGGCAAGGTCCGTGTTCAAAAATTGTAAGCGATATATGAATCTTTATCGTATCGATATTTGGGATCTACCTTAGTAAGGTTTCGATATTTCGATATAGTAGCTGTAATAATAAAATAAAATGTCACAAGCGGCATAATTAATGTTACTAATTAATGGAACACAAATCTTGTACCATAATCGAGATAAATGATCAATGGATCTTATTTTTGTTTGAAAGATGTTAGTTTCCTTAAAAAATTGAATGGTCCCTATATAAGAAAAGGAGAAAATTCAGATGAAGGAAAAAGTAAAGGACCATATATGATATTGTCGCTTGCTCTTGTTATAGACAGAGTACATATAAAGAATAAAGATGGGACTTTATATATACACACACACACAGAAATCAAGAGCTCATGTATGTTTATGTTAGATTCAATGCCTCAAAAGGTAGGGTTTGGTCTTTCTAACTATGGCTTCGGTATTTAAAAGTTGTACAGTAAATGTTTTTTTGGTACATACTTGCATACTTTTTTTTGGGTACAAAAGGGGAAGAAACGTACTTGCATTCTAGATAGGTTTAACAAGCAGTAGACCATGATGTCTTGATTTCGAAGCTTAAATATGGCTGATCAGTAATTAATTCATCACAAAACTATTAATTCGGAATATGAATAGTTGAAAAAGCTAGTGAAAATAACAATTTCTATATGCGTCCTGCTTGTAGGGATTAACCTGACGTTGAAACAGTAATTATTTTCGCCGGTAATTATATATGTGAATTACAAATACAAGTTACGTGGAAGAGAAAAACGAACTTCCTCTACGTACCCCTTTCCAGTAGACTGGAAGGGTGAGTAATTAACTAATAATCATTTCCATAATTCCATCAAACAAATAAATAAGTAGTCTTAATTGATAATAATAGTGCACAAAACACACAAAAAGAAAATGGTAACAAGAATTAATTCAAGAAAGTACAATCAAGAAACTGAGTTTGTGAAAGTACGAAATGGAAATCAACGGGATCATAGTGTGATAGCTTAGGTACGTTTTCTTCATCAGTTGAAAATATAATATATGCTTCGGAAATCATTGAGAAAACTCCAAGAACAATTTGGTTTGCTGCATGCCCTTGGAGATGGGTCGTTATTTATTCATTACTGCAGGCCTTGGCATTAGACGCTTCTCAGAACCCTATACCAAAAAAAAAAAAACAAAATAATAATAAATACCAAAAACCATCAATATTTCTTAAGTATACACTCTTTTTTTTGTTGGTATATTGAAGGAGACATAACCTAAAAATTACACAGCTACATTACTGAAAATGCAGACTTTGTCTACACTATCCTGAGATAATACATGAGCAAGCCCTAAATGCAGACATCTTAAAAGTAGAATTTTTTTTGGACAAGGATTTTTACTATGTTTGTGCATCAAAATAAACGAGGCCTAAGAAATTTAAGTGTAAGCTACTCCCTACGATTTTATTTGTAAGAGAGATTTTCACTAGAAGCGTTCTTTGTAAATAGGACATATGAGGGATCATACATACTCCATCACCATATCCATTTTGTAACGAATTCTGGTTACTACACATTCCGTCACATAATAAGATTAGGTCCTGGTTCTAAATTAAAGCTATATTTATCCTCAATGTGCATGAAATGCAGTATCAATTCCAGCAAGTTTAATGTATTCCTTCTCTCAAAAAAAAAAAAAGAAAAAGTTATAGTAGTTGATTTTCAATATTCTAATAACCAGGTAGATGAATGAATGTAGTATGAAGCATCCTTCTGAAGAATTTAAATTCCAAGTAAAAGGTAAATAAATGTAACTGGACTATACCTTGGATGGGTGGTTAACACTGGTGTCCAACATCAAGCCAAAGTGAATATGGGGAAAATGTGCCCACTTGAGTTAACCCAACAAAAAAAGAGAACAAACACAAGACCAAAACCCATAATAATCTTAATAATTGTCCCAAACATAATGTAAAAACTTTGAAGCATATATACTAACATTCTTAGCAGCAGTACTAAATGCTTCCCGGTGGCTGATATCTGGGTTGCTTGCTTTGATCCTCTGAATCTCTTCCCTGCATACAATATTGACATTAGTACCATAAAGAAACTAGAAGGAGAAGAGAATCATTAATCCATTTTGAAACAAACAAATCTGAATTACTTGATGAATTGGTTGTATGCAGAAGGTATTCGCTGCCTTTTCTCGGGAGCTGTCACAACATATATATATAGATGATGAAATGAGTATTACCAAACAAAAAAACTATAAATGTGACTAAGTAGTAGAGTAATGACTAAGAGAATTAATTATAATGTAGGATTAACCCGAAAACATACGGCGATTAACGTTCCTATCATCAGTGCGGATGCCTAAAGCAGATGGTCTGGTTGGCATCTTATTAGTAGTATTAACATGATGATGATGATGATGAGCTTTAGAAGAAGAGGAACCAAAGTCGATCCTGTATTCAGGAGTTGCAGCATTGGTGGAGTTTGGTGCCTGAAGTGTCTGGAAATTAAACACATAATAACAAGATGAACAAATCAAAACAATTCATCCAGCTAGTTGCTGAAATTAATGTACTATTATTAGGAGGAAAAAAAAAAACAGTTTTTGGTGTACATGAATGTTGGCTATGGAGATTAGAGAGTTGTAGCTTAGGGAGACGGCCGATGGGGGCGGGGGGATTTTAGACAGTTGACTGAAAAGACAGAGGAGAGAGAGATGAAAATGATGAAATTAATTAAAGAATTCTTGCATTAATGACATACTTTTTATTTGTTAGAAATACTACTGATAATGATCATCATGAATATGCATGTCGTATAGCAATCCCAGATTCATGCAGAAATGGAACTATCAAATCAAATCATCTGGGGAAGCTCACTAGTTAGTACAGGAGAGGCAGCTATGTTTCGGACAAAAGCCCCCCTTGCTGAAAGAATTTCCTTCAATTCAATAACTGAAAACTTTCTTAATAAACAACATTAAAACCCCATCCAATGTCAATCAAACCATCAAATCAATGTTTTAATATAATCCCAAGAAATGTAATAAATTATATTAAAAAAAAACCCTTTGTTCTTCTTTCAATGTTTTTGGTCAGGTGGCCGCAATACTACACCCCTATAGCACAGTCATACTAGAATTTAGATTGTTGATTCTGGCGGCTGCTATAGAGATTTGAAAGTTGCTAGCTAGGTTACTGAGGTCAAAGCTTAGACCTTTTTGTTTTCTTGTTTTTCCCCTTTAAGGACAAGTACTAGATCTAATAGGAGCTATAGTGAAGGAGTAGATTGATCCCCTCAAGAAAAGCTGCAAGAACTAGTTACTCATCCCCGGGTTTTGAACCCTAAAAATTCTCAGAATCGCCCACAAATTTAGCTGAGCAAAATAATAATAGTACCAAGTTAAATATATATAAAGATGGAAGGGGGACCTGATGAAGAGCAGAGGCATCCAGGCAGGAAGAAGACAAGGAGTGAAAGGCAGCGGCCATGTTGACGGACCATAGATTTGTGCAGTGCCCACATCTCACCGTCACTATATCATATAAGCTGCTGCATGGTACACTCACCTGCCAAAAAAAAAGAAAAAAAAAACAATTTTAATTAACAAACTTATTCATTTTCATCAACACATTATAATCACTACTACTACCAAAATAAATTACAAAGGACCATAAATAAAAGCATCCGAAAAAAAAAACATTGATGAAATTATTAGACTTCAACTGGTTAGATCTCGAGTGCTGATCTCATTCTTTTAATTTACAACCCGCAAATCATAGAGAAAATCTTCTTGTTTTGCTAATTAAGAAATTAAAGAAACCCAATTCATTAAATCATCCTTTTGGGAAAAATGTTTATAGAGAGGTTGGAGATATAAATGTAAATGAAGAAGAAAGGTAAAAGACATATAGAGATGGTGGAGGAAATCCGAGGCTAATCAGAGAGACCTGTCTTCATCACTTTGCATGAGAGGATGAAGCCCTTCATTCATTCATTCATTTCTTATCTCTATCAAGTCAAATGAAATTTCCTGTTCAAACCCAAAATTTATACAGTAAAAAAGAACTCTTCCCCTCTTCCTGACTTAAACACACTTCTTTCTTTTCTCTCACACACACACACACTCACTGCTTCCGCACCCACAGAAAAAAACACACACAATTCCAGGGTGTGACTTTTCTTTGACTGTAAAAAGCAATAAGAACCAGAAAAAGTCCCATCGATGGAGACTTGACTATATAACAAGAAAAAGAAAATGCTAATACAAAAGAATAGTAAAACAAAAGATATCATAGAAAGAAGTGATTAATGGAATGAATTCAGGATCATATATATATTTAGAGCCACCACCAAATGCATGATCTGATCTCTCTTTCTTTCCTTCTGCAAGAAAAACCAGCTTTATACATATCCAAGCCGAGCAGCAAACTAAAGCATTTTATTGGTTTTTCTTGAGAGGTCTTTTCTGGATATATATAATGGATATCATGACTACTTGTATATGAAAAGAAGATCCCACTACTACAAATTACATTCAGAGATTTGGAAGAAAATAAAAATTGAATTAAATACCGCAAGCACAATATTGCAAAAGTTGCAAGGGATGTAACAAAGTTGCTCCGCAACTGCAACATCTATGCAGCTTGACATGATGTTTAATTATAATTACTTCAGCTAGCTAAGCTCGATCGATCTTCAAAATTCACTACTAAAAATGAAATGGAGATGAAGAAGTTGATTGCGGAAGAGAGGAACTGAAAAGTAAATGAAAATTGTGGATGCAAATTAACCCAATCTTCCTGGTGAGAAGAACAAGTACAAAAGGATATAGAGAAGAAAAAAAAGGAAGAGAATTTTTGTTTGATATAAGCTTTCTCTCTTTCCTTTTCCTTCTACCAAGAGTTAGCCCTATTTGTAAGTGTGTGTGTCGTGTGAATCACAACACAAAAGCAAAACAGATCCTCAACTTGGTTCTGGTCTTTATTATACACTTATGTGACAAGATAAAAAAATTATTAATTACTTAAGTAGTATATGATCTAATAGCCTACTGTGACCGCGGAAATATTAATAGTAAAATAGTAAAAATGAAAAAAAGAAATGTATTGAGGAAAGGAGCTAGGAAAGGAAAAGTATATAGGGTTTGAGATAGATATATACATCAGATAAATAGACTATTGAATTAAATTAAAAGGTGGGTTTATCTGTGTGGAGTGAGAAAAGCTCTAAAAAGGAAGAAAACATGGGTTTGTTTTTGTGATGGTATTTTCAGAAGGAAATGGCAGGGGGTATGTTGGGGCTAGGGTTTGATGGCAGAAGAAGAAGAAGAAAGAGAAATGAAATTTACGTGTGTGTGTGTATTTTGTGCAGCATATATTACATAGATTACAGTGCTGGGAAAAGCAGTACAAAAGTTAGTATACATTAATATGTTTGAATATAATCTAGTGTTTTTTTTTTTTGGGTGATTATTGCCATAAAAAGGTGGGTATGTGTGACCACTGACCACACTTCCCCCTGGCTGGCTGGCCAACATCCCCAGCGGACGAGGAGGGCGAATTTCCTCCATTATTATTATTCCTCCCATCTAATCTATTCGAAAATTCAGTTGCGACACTCTTACCTGCTACTTGATCGGAAAGCTTACAGTGGTATGACGATCTACCAACTGGATTATACAATGATTACAACAAGATTTTATCAAGGTTTCTTACAAAATATAGTAATTTCAATTTGTTGACAATATTTTTCAGAATCAAATTATCTCCGAGATTGATGGATCCGAATGTGAGGAGTGATAAGGTGATTGGAGTCATAAGGATGAATCATATTCAATGATGAGATTTGGTTGATTGCCAAGAAATATTAGAGTATCTCGATCTTCAGGATTGATTACTTTCAATAATTACCGAAATAAAATGTAACCTAGATTAGTGTTACTATTATGGTTTACTATTATTTCTCAGTGAAAAAGTTCTAGATATACAGAACTTGATTCACGATTGTAACTGAGGAAAAATACAAATAATTCAATCCATATTCTGTCAAAGTCTTCCACCCTAGGCTTTGTAATTTTTTTTCTTGGTATCAGAGCCAACCCGCCGATATTCGGACTCAAAAAAGCCCAACAAAAAATAGGGCTGAGACCTGAGGCGGTGCCTGGGCTGAAAAAAATAGGACAAGCCCAACCCAAAAAATACGTTGGGCTTGCTAGGGAGTATTCGGTGTTGGGAGACACTGAATATCAATATATAAGCTCCATGGGCTACTCCCCTCATTGCCAATTGGTTTTGAGGTGGAACTCCATGAGCTTCTGTATGGTATCAACTTTCATCAACTTTCATGTCCCTACACTCCTGAGCAGACTGGTGTGGTTGAACGTCGTCATCGTATTATTTGAGAACTTGGCATGACGATGATGTTTCATAGCCACACTCCTCTTTATTTATGGGTCGAAGCCTTTAGAACTGCCGTTTAGCTAATTAATCGACTTTCTTCGTCCGCTCTTGATTTTGTATCTCCTTATTTCAAGTTGCATGAAAAAAACCCTGAATATTCTTCCTTACGTGTCTTTCGCTCTAAGTGTTTTCCATATATTTGGGATACCAAAAAAAATAAGTTTGACCCCAAATCTATCCTTTGTGTGTTTGTTGGATATAGTGAAAAATACAAAGGCTATAAGTGCTTTGATCTTGTAACTCTTAAATTTTTAATTTCTCGGCATGTGATCTTCGATGAAACTGCGTTCCCATTTAAGTCTCGGTCTTCCTCTTCATCGCATCACCATGTTAATCAAATTTTTGATACTTGGCTAAGTTTGGATGCTATTGTTGTTGTTTCATCTCTACAGGTTTCTTCATCACCTGACATTCCTCTTCTTCCGTCGATCTCGCCTACAAGTCTTGATCCCGCGCCTGCTGGTGATGAACCATCTTCGTCTTTGCTGCTTTCGTCATCGCCTACTCTCACTGATTCTGGTTCTGAGTCGCGGTCTCCTCTGTTTGAACAGTCCTCCCCAGTCTCGGTTTCCACCAGCCATCATTCGCATGTCTCTCTTTCTGGTCCGCGTTTATCAGTTGAACTTCCAGCTCCCCTACCGGCGACTCTTCCCAGTCATACTATGATCACTCGTTCCAAAGTTGGTACTGCTAAGCCAAATCCTAAATACCGTCTGCTCGTGACTGTTTTTCCCTCAATTCCCAGCGAACCGAAGTCGGTCAAGGCTGCATTAGCCCATCCTGGTTGGAACGTGGCGATGATTGATGAACTTACTGCACTCCATCAAAATCAAACATGGACCTTGGTTCCGCGTCTTCCCACCATGCACATCATTGGATCGAAATGGGTATTTAAGTCAAAATTGAAACCCGACGAAACCTTGGATCGTCTCAAGGCGTGCTTAGTTGCTAAAGGCTATCATCAACTCAATGGTATTGATTACACCGAAACGTTCTCTCCTGTGATTAAGCCGGGAACAATCCGTTTGGTACTTTCGGTTACTCTGGCTCGCAATTGGCCAATACGTCAAATGGACGTCAAAAATGCGTTTCTACATGGCCATATTTTTTAAGATCTATACATGTCACAACCTCCAGGTATGGTTGACTCTACATTTCCCAATCATGTTTGCAAGCTTCACCGTGCTTTTTATGGTCTAAAACAAGCCCCACGAGCTTGGTTCGATCTACTAAGTCAATTTCTAATCTCTTATGGTTTTGTGTGTAGTCTTGCGGATCCTTCTATGTTTACTTTTTATGGTTCTCAGGGCAGCTTGGTGCTTTTGATTTATGTTGACGATATGCTCCTCACTGGCTCATCGTCGACTCTCATTAATTCCTTTATTTGTGTGTTATGTTCTGAATTTTCGATGAAGGATTTAGGTCTGGTTCATCATTTTCTTGGCATTGAAGTTACGCATCAACCTCATGGTTTGTTTCTTTCTCAATCACAATATGCACACACCGTTTTGGTCCGCACTTCTATGCTTGACTGTAAGCCGATGCCTACACCATTGGATTCTATACTTGTTTTAACTGATTCTCATTCTCTTGATGATCCTACACAATTTCGGAGTATAGTTGGTGCTCTGCAATATTTAACCTTGACTCGTCCTGATCTTTCTTACAGTGTCAACTATGTTTCTCAGTTCATGCAAGCTCTTACCATTGCTCATATGAAGCTTGTTTAGCGGATTCTTCGGTTTGTCAAAGGAACTGTTAACTATGGCTTTCACCTTACCTCTGATCTTTCTACTGCTTTGTTTACTTTTTCAGATGCTGATTGGGCGGGATGTCCCCCCACTCGTCGTTCCACCACTGGCTATTGTACCTTTCTCGGCTCAAACCTCATTTCATGGTGTGCAAAAAAGCAATCTACAATCTCTCGTTGTAGAACCGAAGCTGAGTATCGAGCCATGGCTCATACTGCTGCTGAGATCACTTGGTCATCTATCTTCTTCAGGATCTTCGTGTTCCTGTCACTTCTCCACCAGTCATTTTTTGCAAAAATCTCAGTGCTCTGTATATGATAGTTAATCCTATCTTTCATGCTCGTAGCAAACACATTGAGCTTGACTATCACTTTGTTCGAGAACGAGTTGCTCGAGGATTTCTTGTCACCAAACATGTCTCATCGGATCAACAAGTGGCTGACATTTTCACCAAGCCCGTTTCAAAAGTAGCTCTTTCCTTTTTTCGCAACAAACTGTGCCTCCTACCCCAGTCCAGTTTGAGGGGGGATGTTGACAATATCTCTCAGAATCAAATTATCCCTGAGATTGATGGATCCGAATGTGAGGAGTGATAAGATGATTGGAGTCATAAGGATGAATCACATTCAATGATGAGATTTGGTTGATTGCCAAGAAAATATTAGAGTATCTCGATCTTCAGGATTGATTACTTTCAATAATTACCGAAAATAAAATGTAACCTAGATTAGTGTTACTATTACGGTTTACTATTATTTCTCAGTGAAAAAGTTCTATATATACAGAACTTGATTCACGATTGTAACTGAGGAAAAATACAAGTAATTCAATCCATATTCTGTTAAAGTCTTTTACCCTAGGCTTTGTAATTTTCTTCTCAATTTTCTTAGGTTTTGTCTCCTTTTATTGGATCGAAAAAAATCTAAGCTACTAAAATCATATTAAATTAATGAACATAATTATCAACAGTTTTCTTTCACCTTTTCTTTTTTATGCTTCCCCTGTATATAAGCCATTTGTTGTTGTTTTTTTTCCCTTTCTGGTGCTTAGCCATTTGTTCTCCTTTTAAACCACGTACAATTATTGATGTTTGATTTTTTTTGTAATTTAAAAATAAAATCTCTGGAAAATAGTTTACAACTTGGGGTGACTGGAATTCACATTTATAGAAAAGCTAAAGACTTTGAAGGATATATGAACATAGAGAGTTCCAGTTAATTAGAAAAATTCTCTCAAGCATATTTGGGAAAATTGTTTTATAATACGTTTTACCTTAATGATGGCCAGTAAGAGGTTATTACTTTAATTTACTGAATTGTGGTATAAATTAAGCTTTGTGTGATTTCTTCTAGGTATGATGGTAACGCTGCATGAATTTGATCACCGTAACTACCTAAACTCAAAATTGATTAAGGGAATTAAGTAGCTAAGTTAGAGGTCTCATAGAAAGGGCTTTTTCCCCTTTAAAATTGTAATCACCATCAAATTGAAAATAATTAAGGGAATTAAAAGTAGCTAAGTTAGAGGTCTGATAAAAATGGTGAAGACGACAAAACAGTTTAGCCAAAATGTATAGCAAAATAAGGCAACCAGAACATGGCCAAAACATTATTAATTTCTCACATAATTTGTCGGCTGAGCCAACCTGGTTGGTTATTTGGACTGAGAAGACCTTATTCAGTTTGGTCGTTTTCCTGTCTTGATGGACTCCAGAGATATCAATTAAGCATTATTTATTTCTTATTATATTCTCCTTTTCTCCTTCAAATAAAAAATAGTTTCCGTTCGAAATCCGAACAGGGGGACAGTGATTTCGGAAATAACAGGACAGTAATTTTGGAAACAAGATGTTAGGAAAAAAAAAAAAAACTAAAATATGGTATGTACAAAGATAGAAAAACATAGCTTTCCTTGTATTTTAACCATAATTATGCTTGCTGACCTTTTTTTTTCTTTCATTATTACTCTTCCCTTCCATAAATATAATCTTATGTATTTATTTATATATTTAGATTGAGTGAAATCTTATGTATTTATTTATATATTTAGATTGAGTGAAAATTTGACGAGAAAATTTATGAGGAATGATATTGTTGAATCATAACTATCTCCTAATTTTTAAATGGATAAACCTAAGTATACATATGGACGGTTATGATTCATTGATTGTTAAAGTTACATGCGAAATTTCCCTACAAAAATCATGCATTATCCATTTAAAGTATACTCCATGTGAGGAGGAAAAAGCCATAAACTTAATTTTTAGGAAGAAAAAAAAAACTTCATGGGGAACTATTAATTTAATCAGCATCCTTTTTTTTGAGTTAATACTTCATTAAGAATAAGTCATTAGTAGTTAATTATTAATTCATTACACAAATCTCTCAAGAGGTTGTGCGTATATAGTGGTGTACAAATTTTCCACTGCCATGTGTGGATATTGGGTGTTTTGGCTTTTGCGGATCTAATATCAAGTCCATAAGAAAAATTCAATTGTTGAAGAATTCTCAACGAACTGTCTGATAGAGCCAAACAAAGGGCAATAAAAAAGTTTATTCTCTCTATGTTATTATTAGAGTTCCGACTGACTTTTTTTAGCTTGAAGCATAAAGGAGATGTAAGCAATAAGCTAAGCTATCGTTTGAGTATATTAATTAACTCGTAACTGGCTGTCACATTCAGTAATGCTCGTGAGCAAGACATTGGTTTTAACTTTGATTTTTTGGTGTGAAAATTAAAAAAAATAATAATAAAATAAAATTTACCTGAGTAAAATAGTAATGTTGTTACAAATGATATTGAAAATTAAAAAATGTTACTATTAAATAAGAGTGAAATACAAAAAAAAAAAAAAGGAAAGAAAGAAAGGGGGAGAAATCAAGATAAGAGAAAAAAGAGAAGACCCAACCACGTATACAAAAGACTTAAGTACCAGATAAGGACCCGAAAGACCAACAAAAAAAAAAAGAAAAAAAAGAAAAGGAAAATAAAGAATCATCCATACAAACATAATAGAGGTAATTATTACAAAGTGGGAGCCTCATGTCTGGAATAGGTAGCTAGTGGAATTCCAATGTGCAATTGAATCATACTACATGGGAGATATTGACTTGAAGGAATTAAGCAAAATTAAGTAACGATAAATACCACGAAACCATGTAGTAACTCCTCCGGTCCTTAATATAAGGCATTTTGGTTTGTCATAAATTTCACTTAATACGCATTTTTTATTAACAAAAAACCCTAAAATATATATTTTCACATTCCTTGCTCTCTTTGGTTGTTATGAAATATTTTTAAAGTTTTTTTTTTGTCAATTAAAAATACGTACTATGTGAAATGTAGGAAAAGTAAAAATGTCTTATAATAAGGATCGAAGAGAGTATCTCGTAAGATAATTCAGTAATCATTACAAATCATCAGATAATGCACATTAGTCGATTTTATTTTTTGAAATGATAAAAATGACAAAATGATATTTATGTTTTTTACAGTCTCATACTCGTCATTAATTGAGTTGCATATAAATTCATTATCTGTATCATTTCCGAGACTAAGAATACTAGTATATATACTAGTATATCTTAGAAGTAAAAATTAAAAAAGCCATAGTACCATTTCGGTGTCATCAATTACAACCACGGGAACTGAGTAAGAAATAGCAATATTTGAGCTACATATCCACAGATGGATGATCAAAACCAGGATGCCAGTCTTGCACAAAAAATTTTTAAAAAAAATCCTACCCTACTCTCTCCCTTGTATATTTAGTAGTAGTAGTACTTTCTTTTGATGCTCAGAAATCAGAATCATGAAAAGGGCTAACAAAATTCGCAGCCAAAGAACCAACAAAAACCGGGAGAAAGCGAAAGGCACTGATCAATTTTTTCCAACCGGCCAGCAGGCTAGATATTCTTACAACCTCGAATTATGTGTCCCCTCCTAGCTTAGAGTTTACTTTGATTCTTTCTCGTTAATCCAAACTAGTATATATAGCCAACATCTTTCCCACTTAGTTCGGCTTTTCTAGTTTGGTTCGGTTGTTTTGGGACCAGATTTGAAGCTGTATTATATAGATCATCTAGCTAGGTTTTCTTTTAGTTGGAATGACCTGAAAAATGAAATTTAGTAGTCAAAACCCTTTTGCTTTGATCAAATGAAACACAAACGAACATAGAGTTGAAGCCCCTCTTGGTCCTAAAGGCTTGCATTTGTTAGATGATCCTTCACTAGGGGATGAATCTATGATATGATCAGAAAACGTTACTGGCATTACCTATTCACGGATGATTGTAATTTAATATTTTAGTTATTTGACTCTTACTTTGTACTAAAAAAAAAACAATTAAAAAAAAACCCCTCTGGCTCTTATTTTTCATTGTTTTATTGAGATCTGAAATGTTACATTGTCATATTTTGAAGGAATAATTGCCGGCCAGCTCTTGGAGCTGTATTTTTTAGAATTTATCAGAGAAATAAATTGTGTGATAATAGTAATGATATAGGTTGACAAATATTAAAAATTTGTAGGCTTTCTTTTTCTGGGGGCCTATAGCTATACATATCTAGGGATTCTAGTAGCCAATATAAGACTATATCCCCGACATGGAAATGCTCAATAACATTCACCACTATACACAACTACACTACTATGAGTCCAATCGCTTACTCATTTACATTTCCTATACAAAGAATTTACACAAGATCTTGTTATCTGGGCTCAAGCAATCTCAGTACAGTCTTTCAAAAAGGCATCACTGGAATGTCGGCATTTATGGACAACAATTGCCTGGTTAAATCATCCAAGACTACCACAGCACATTCGTTCAAAGTTGAATACAATGACTAACAAAAATTTTAACAAAAAAAAAATCATTGTTGTATAAATGAAATGTGAGTTTAATAGGAAAACAAAAAATCTAACCTATTGGAAGATAAGAAAACCAAATGCATTCAGCATTCTCAATTAGCAAGCTACATTAACCGAACCAGAGAAAAATTCCTCCCATTCGCTTATATGGGGGCTATGAAAGCAGCGCCTTAGGCAGTCTTTAAGTAGACCTCTCGCTGCAGTCGATAAGCAGCGGAACCATCTGAACTAGCTCGAGACAACAGCTCAGACAGCAGTAATGGTGATGCTGCTGCAACCTGTACCCAATCACCTTTAATAGCAGATGGTGTCTTTGCCTACTGAACTAAATGATACTCTAGGCTTCTTATCTGATCCAAAGTTGAACTTCAGATCATTAGCCTCAACAGTAGCCGAGGAATTGCTTGTTGAGGGGAATGAGAAAACAAGGCGAGTTGAGTTGTTAGAGCCGAAACTGTAACTAGGAATTGCAGGTGAGTCTTTTGGCTGAGATACCAGTCCCCCAGAAGAAAATGGCATGACAGATGGCGTTGGAGGTTCTGAGAGAGTACTTGTAGATGTGGAAACAGGAAAACTAAATCCAGGAACACTGTCAGAAGACATGGAAAAACCAGGTGCACGCCTGCTAACAGATATACTGGGCAAGCTAGGCTTTGTCCCAAATGAGTGCAAGGGCGGCCTCTTCACGGGCTCAACCTTAGAAGCGTCCGTTGAAGTTGTGACAAGCTGCTCAGTATTTTGATTTCTGGGAGCAAAGCTTAGATCAGCCTTCTGCAACACACAGATTATCAAACATTTCAGCGGCAATTCATAAAGGAAACCATCAGTTAGCCAACACGATTTCTCATTTTTGAGGAACCAATTTGAAACACTTTTTTTCGTGGAAAAGTAGAAAGACATTTTACTATAAATAAACCAAATAGTTTCTATCATAACTAAATTCGTTAAAGGAACAAAGCTCCAGATTCAGGTCGACATGCAGAACCAATATAAATGCTAAAAAATAATAAAAGATAGCGCCCGAAACACAAGTCGCCATGGACACACAACCCACAGTTTGACAAGAGAAAGTGTAAACAACTTTAAATCAAGAACATCAGTGACCAAGTTTCTTCAAGTTAAATATTCAGCATTTGACTGTTTCCTTGACAGTTTCTGTTTGATTTTGTAAGTAAATAAATTATAATCCCAGTTGTCAATATCTATAACAGAAACTTCTCGGAATCAAGCAGAGAATTTTCACAACATAATAGGAAAAAATAAATACCTCTTGGAAAATTTTTGGTTCAGAGGGAGTCCTCCTGAAAGGAAAGAAAAACCCAGAATTAGCATCAATTTTTGTCACTGAACCACCATTGTCTCTGGTCGAAGCTTCACGTATTGCCAAAACAGGTTCTTTAGCTTTCATATTACTCTCCTCCTGAAGATCTCCTTGAACCTTTGAATGGTCACCAGAAACGTTTCTTTTAGAGGTAAGATCCACACCACTAAAACTAGTTCTTTTAGAGATGTCTTCTGAAAATGGGAAGCTCTTAATTTCTTTAGGTGTGGCAGAGGCCTCAGTATGAGATTTCCTCCATGCACTTGCCAGCTTCAACTCATTCATCCTTTCTTGAGGTGTTGGCTTGTGTTTGTCAAGCTGATCAAGAATCCTTTTCACTACCTCATTAGTAGAGGGATTTAGCAATGGTTTATCCCCAACCTTGTTTTCTACGAGCTGTACTGGTGGTTGTCTTGAAGAACTTGTTTCACCAATTTGTAGATTCTTTTGTACATATGACTGGTTATCTTGATAGACAGTGGGTTGTTTTCCCACTGAAGGATTGTCAATAGAATATTTTGAGAAAATAGAGCCTCTTGGTCTGACTTCCGACGCATATTTCGCTCGCAAGCGGCGAATAGGTCCAACTGAACCATAGCTAATATCTAGGCCATCATTCCTGTACTTCACCTACAAATCATCCGAAAACATAAGATTGGAACCAAAATGATACGCTCGAATACTCCAATCATATGACCATGCCAGAGATACAGAAGCAAAAAGACAGAAAGTTCGTCTTCAATTACCCCAAAAATCAATTGAAAAGGAAAAAAAGAAAAAGAAAAGAAATAACCAGTATGTTTTATATAGGATATATAAGACACCAAGTCTCCCTCTAAACATCTCATTGAGTTGATCACACAGACACATAAAATCAATCTCATGCAAAGGGCAATGAGGCAATTGCAGGTGCAGCACAAACAAACCATTAGAAGAACCGCACCTGTTCAGGAAATGGCGTGTTAGAATGCTTGAAGTGGTTTGGTGAACTAATTCCATACTTGCTGTCAGTCTGCACCTGAGTCATTTTCAAATATGTAAGGCATTAATGCAGCCATTAAAAATTTGGCGCTATTGTTACATGGTAAAGTAACTCTACAAGTCAAAGTAAATTAACTAATTACACATACCTTGGCCCTGGACTTCGAATAGATAGTCCTTGAATATGGAGTTCGAGGAAAATCATGAAGCCCCTGTCTGCCTCTCTGATTTGGAGTTGTATAACCATGCTGTTCTTGAGCCATGGAACCTGGCCAACAAGTTGACCTAGGTGAAGGGAGGAAAGGCTTTAATGCCAAATCATCGGCGCCCTTTTGAGCAGCTTCTCCCTTCGATGAAACACCACTAGGCCCAGGGCCATACTCAGATAACCGGCTTCCCATAAAAGCCCTTGCAATTTCAACAGGTGATGCACCAATTTCATCTGGCACCTTCATAATTGTCGAAACAATTTCAATCAATACCATAATATGGCAGATGAAAGTGTAGTAGTAAAGCTATAAAACATTAAAACTCTGCAGACTTGAATTTCCATTACAACCACTTTCACCACAGGCCTAATTCTGAGTGGTAATAAACTGCAAGAGTGGCTTCACTTCTACCAATAAATCCTAAATCTGAATTTTCAAAATGAAATAAAAAGGGCAACCAGTCAAAATTTGCTACAAATAAGATCACGAAATGCTGTTGTACTCACAGTCTGGGAGCCAGGTTTGGGGCTTGTTATAGCAACTTTATTTAGACTTTTCCAGCGTCCTTCATCTGCTGTCTTGGAGAATGGGGTTGTTTGAGCTCCTGCCTTCGCTCCTGCAGGGGTCAGGACTTCTTTACTTTTTCTTTCCTCAACATCTGAAACATCACTGACCCTGGAACTCAGTATCCCCATCAACCTATTGATCTCATCCCTGCACGGCCATTACGAGTAATTAGAAGATTTATAAGAAAACCAACGGAAAATGAAGCTCTTTAAACAATGTACCTGGTAAAAGTTTTCCCTTTTATAAGCTGCTCAATTCCAGATAAAGGAGGATCATTCTCCGTACCATTTGCCTCATCTTGTCCACGCTTGGCACTTTCTTTTACTTCACTTGGAACAGCTCTTTCTGTAAACTGGAATGTATCAACCTGTGAAACATGATTTCAAATATTTAAAGGTGGACCTCAAAAAAGATATATAGAGATTTAAGAGGAAAGATATACATGATCCTTGTGTTTCAACATAAACTTATGCGGAGACTAGTAACATCACTATGTTTAGTGAATTTTACGAATAGCATAGTGGCATTACTATGTTTACTGAATTTTGTGAATAACATAACAACATCAACCGCATTTATTGAATTTTGTGAATAGCAACAACAAGATACTTGTTGAATCCCAGGTTGCCTTGACATCCAACCAAGAAAGGGAACTCAATGAAAATTGATTAGAGAGGTAACAAGTCATGCCAGCAACTCACATTCGAGTTGCCTCCCTCGTTGCTGTCAAGATTAGATGGTAACTCCACTTCCTCTTTATCTGCAAAATCCAGAGAAAGCATGCCAGCATTAGACAAAACCTCAAACAGAGCCCAACTTGTATTCAGATGTTCACATCCAAAAACAGAATACATTCTAGTGAAATGGTGCCACGATGTTGAAAATCTATTCACAATAAAGTCACAAGTCCAAACTCAACAAAAGTGAGACGCCCTCCTGAAAATCAAAGTGCCATATTGAATTCTACATTGTTTGTTTACACAACCCGGCTCTCAAAAATTGAGGTTTTGCAGGAGTAAAATGCGAAGTCGAAAGAGAAAACCAAGGAAACATCATACTACAGGTCCTAATGTCCCTTTTGCAAAAGTCATAGAAGGCAAGTCGAGTAGTATAAAGCAAGCAGCAACGCCAGCAACCCCAATCAAATCCAATTTATCAAAAGTACGTTTTTTTTTTTCCCTCCCCTTTCCCTAGGTGGGTAGGGGCAATACAACTTCCAGCTCCATCGCAATATTACTGACCAGTTAAAAGTACAGAACATAAATGATCCCAAATTGCAGTACTCAAGGACAAATAAATTAGAACTTTGCAATGATAATGAAAATTAGAAATGAAAGTTATGATCTTTTCTCGATTAATGACGACTTACCTAGGTTTTCAGCAGCAGGAAGTGTATTAACGGAGGGCGTTGTTGACAAGAAGGCAGGCAAAATCTTGGTGGCGCCGCTGGCGACGAGACGGTAAGCAGGATCGACAATCTTGGACAACCACCACCGGCTTCCGGTCTGATTGGAGGAAGGGCGATCGTAAGGGGTGGACTGAGACTTCCTCGCCGGAGGCTTTTTCAACTTCCCTCCGGCGCCTCTCTGGTTGTCCGATGTTCCATACGACGACGTCGAGGGGTTCGAGTCCATGCCAATTTCTGGAGATTGAGGTTCAATTTTCTGATTCGGAATCTGAGAAAACCCTAATTACCAGAAAATGAGAGCTGTGAGAGAAGAAATCCAAAGAAGTTTGGAGATTTGGACTCCCGCTCAGACTCCAAGTTAGTCAGTACGAACTTCGACGTCTTTTGAGTTCGGAAAGTGTCTGCCGCCGCTTCGGCCCAAACCCGCCAATTCGGGCTATTGAAACCTGCGTTGACGAAATGTGGAAAATATTTGGCTTTGTTCGTTTATTTTTTTAGTGTGTATTTTTTGGTATTTTTTGTATTAGAAACGTAAAAAAATGTATTAAAAAGATAAAAAAGTATACTGAGATGGGATATATATTAATATATTAATTTAAAAACACCATAAAAAAATAAAACAAACAAAGCCTTGCATTTTTTAAGATTTGTACGCCGATTTGTCACATAATCATGGATACGATTTTCTTTTTTTATTAAGAAAACAAAATTACCAGTACTAACTTATTCATTTGTTTATAAATTATATTTGGAAAAATGTAATTGATTTCATTCAAAGCTACTCTTTATCCTAATCCTAAAATTAAATATTTAGTAACTTGAAATAGATATCATTATTTCATTTCCATTCCAAAAAAATAATAATAATAATTCATTTTGTTGAACTAAAGTATTTCTCACAGAATGATTATCTATAATAGTATGTGATTTCACTTTTAGTATGTTCAAATGCACACTTAATAATCATTTCTTAGCGGGAAATTACTACAAAGTAGACTATTTTTTAAGATAGATTTCTAATTCTCGAATTCAATTTTTATATATATAAAAAAAAACTCTTATATTTTTAAAAACAATCCTTTAATGCATTTTTCCCTCTTTTTTCCGTCTAATACTACTCCTTCCATTTCAATTTGTAAGCCGTTTTAGGTTTGGAGAGATTTTTCAAAATGTAGGTCGTTTTACAAATTTTAGGTAAATTAATGACTATTTTTTTCAACTTTACCCTCAATAAATAATACCAATATATAGTAATAAACAGATATTTAACACATAAATTAATTATTTGATGATTGTCTCCTTAGTTTACGTATAAAATCTAAAATAACATCCATTTTCAAATGGATAAAGCAATATGTAAAATTCATAAACAAGCATGATGATGAGCTTGACAAGTGCATCGTGTAGTGTGTAGTATCTCTCCAATTTTGACGCAAAACTTGGAAAGAACGGTATATTCACTCAAACTCACTCAATTACTTTGTGGCATAAAGATTATAATTTTATTATTATTATTATTATTATTTTATGATCAAGAGAAGATCTAGTTTAATCGGTGTTTATCTATATCCTAGATTATTGCATCAAAATTATTTATCCCGATGCCGCTATATATAAAATTATTGTAACATCTATCTAAAGGGGATCACAACATCATGAATCATTTTATACTCAAAATTAAGGGGCTCAAAACATATAATATAATGTAAAGTACTACATAAAGTTGGATAAACGGCTCACTTTGATACACTTCCACCACAGCCTTCAAGCTAGTTACTGTCACGAGGGAGAGAAACGATGGTTTTGATGTTCAAGTATCACCCAATATTGTTAGTTCAGTCTTTTTACGGTGTGTTACCGATTTCTTTACAAAGAAAAGAAATCATCTGCGACATTTTATGTGTTGGAAAAAAAATTTAACGAGCATATGTGGTACAAAATTGTACAACACGACGATGATCATGGAATGAGGTTGAAAATTGTGACAAGACGTATACCTCAAAAATTGCAAGTTCCAAATCAGGTTAAAAAAAAAAAAAAGAAGGTCAACAAAAATACCATTCATAGAGGGGCAAAACAATCAACAAAAAAGCACAAAAGCTGAAATGACACATTTCCAATGAAGGGGGAATTAATCATCATATATCCTTCCCCTAGTATCCTTTTATTGGGCAGTAGGCAGTAATCATAGGACATTATTGATAATCAATGGATGAAAACAAGGAATAAGTTCCAATGATTTGAAAAGGTTCATGAACTCACCAAGCTTTTGGTCACACCCAAAGGCCGTACCTACTTTGTTCTTCCCATTGCATTTTGATCTTCTCGGATTTTGCATGACGTCCCTGAGATCGATCGAGCCGCGGAAAAAAAAAATTACAGAAAAAAAGTCGTATTGGCTATAGCTAGCTACCCCGGAAGACATGGAATGGTTGAGCTGAGTACCATCACATCCCATCAAAATCATGGAGAGAGTAATGTATATCATTTTCAAAACATTAACCCATAGAAGCACACACCCTCATATGTGATTATGTGTACACTCGTCCTCATTTCAACTGTCGAATAGTATATCATCCGTCTCAAAAAAATTATTTTTATGTTGTTAAGTTAAAATCATACGTTAAAGCGGATTTTTTTGGGGATAGAAACGGAATATATGTGTGCACACTCGGGACTTGGAGTTGAAGCTACATTGTATGATCGATGGTATTAATTAATCATTAATCATTCGTCTCAAATATCCAACCCAGCTGTCTCTAACCTTCACATTTTAGCTTACGTCTTGTTGTAAAATGTAAATTGATATTTTTGTTATCAAAGGAATTAGTAGCTTCCCGCATTCTATTGGGAGCTATATAATTACTCAAAAAAAAACTTGTGAAATCAGAGCCGTAGCTAATCGAGATATTCAAAGAAATTTACAAAAGATTCCAGTACTATTGATAACTATTTTCTGTCCCGAAAGCCAGTACACATTAAGATCTGAGATTTTTTGTACTAAAAACAGTGCTAAATTCAAAATTTAATGTGAATTCTTGTTTTGGGGCAGAGGTAGTATTTACTTAGCCCGATGAACTGATTATAGGTTGTCCGAGTACCAAAATTCCAAAATTTAATCAAAGATAAAGGGACTATGTATGTCATACCTAAAAGTTTTAGGACCGCATGTGCCTAATAAGGAATATCAAGTCATCAATTGACCAAATCTGCAAGTGTTAGCTTTTCTCAAATACTATTATTCTTCTAAGATCAAGAAAGTGTTTTTGCTCGTGTTGATCTTTTCTCATGAAGCAGTAGATTTTACCCTCTATATATGTGATCCATTCATAAGCTATCCTGTACTTTTCATGATTCTACTGGATTATACTATTATTGAGTGAGAGCAAGTCCTTTCACATTCAAGGACTACTTCAAATTAATGCTACCCATTCTTTTTCTTTTTTTGATTGTCCCCACCACAGGTAGCACAATCTCTCGTTGATGAATGAAAGAAAAAGGTTCCAATAAGATTCTTAAAATTTTCAAACCAATCCATCAAATCCCATATTGTCAATATCTTTGTTACATGCGTCAACTAAGCTATAGCTTAGCTAGCAGAAATGGTTCAGCTTCTTTTCCTGTCAAGTCAAAGCTTGAGGTCATATCAAAGCTGGTTTCATACTTTCATTAATTTGGTGATCCAAGAAACTCTATACCATTTGCAAATATTATGCCATAAAAATAAAGTAGTGGGCTCTTGTTCTGCTTATTATGGATGTAATTTCAGTGAAGAAATCATTTCAGGATGTCCCATCAACCCCTGCTTTGGATTGCTTTAAAAACGACCTTAATTTGAGTTCAGAATGCAGCATATGGAAACAATGGAGAAAGGTCAATTACAAGCTGATCAGCCAAGGGACACTTACAAAATAGCCTACATTTTGCATTTCTTCCTTGGGGCAGGCAATTTGCTTCCCTGGAACACTCTCATTACTGCTATTGATTACTTTGGCTATCTTTATCCCAACAGGAATGTGGAAAAAGTTTTAGCGGTCGCGTATATGAGCGCTTCGGTACTTGTTTTGATCATGATGCTTACCTGTGATAAGCTGATGAGCCAGAAAGTTAATCTTAGGTTGAGAATGAACCTAGGATTCTCCATGTTCGTTTTCAGTCTTATGGTGACTCCATCTATGGACTGGACTAATAAGCATAATAATAGTAATGTATCATACTGTTTGATGATTGCATCAGTTGTAATCTGTGGTTTGGCTGATGGCTTGATTGGAGGAACATTGGTTGGATCCGCAGGAAAGCTGCCTAAACAGTACATGCAAGCGATTTTCGCTGGAACTGCTTCTTCAGGTATGTATGTATATATTCTTTTTGTCTTCTAAATTGTGCATATATAATGAAATGCATCAGATTCCTGATGAGTTTTTGAATGTTGGCCAATAACAGGTGTTTTGGTTTCTATGCTGAGGATTTTAACAAAGGCTTCGCTTCCACAAACGCCTGTTGGCCTTAGAGCAAGTGCTCATCTATACTTCATAGTTAGCACAATACTCTTGATACTTTGCCTAGTATGCAGCAACCTATTATACAGAATGCCAGTTATGCAGCAGTACTATAAACTTCATGATCAAAAGGATTTGTCATTATGCTCGAATTCGCGGTTTTGGGAAGTTGCGAGAAAGATCAAATGGGCAGCTTTTGGAGTTGCGGTGATTTACACCGTCACATTGTCCATATTCCCTGGATTTCTAGCAGAAGATATCAAGTCCGGATTCTTCAAAGATTGGTTTCCCATTATGCTAATTTCCATGTACAACATTTCTGATTTGATAGGGAAATCATTGACCGCATGGTTTGTGATGGAAGGAATAAGCAAAGTCACATGGTGTTGTGTGGCAAGGATTCTATTCTATCCATTGTTTCGGGGCTGCTTACATGGACCTAAGTGGCTTAGAACAGATGCACCAGTGGCTGTTCTGACAGTATTTCTTGGCCTGACAAATGGATATTTGACAAGTTGCATCATGATTCTTGCGCCCAAATCAGTGCCATCTTCAGAATCAGAGACGGCTGCAATTGTAATGGTGGTGTTTTTGGGTATTGGATTAGTTGCTGGCTCAGTTCTTGGATGGTTTTGGGCCATTTAGAATGTTCTGATGTTATGCTACTCCCTCCGTTTTGAACCAACTGAACTACTTAATATTCTTATAGGACGGAAGAACTACTTCCAACTGGTATGGATTTATTGCAAACATGCATGGTGAATGAATGTAAAAGGATTCATGTGTATGGTTAATTTGCAATTTCAATATATTGAATCGATATCCAGATCTCTTTCGGTATTATTTTTTTTTCTTTAATATATATATCCGAAATCATTGGTCCGACTTTGTTTTTATATCAATTTCTTTTTTAAAGTGAGGTATCTTCTCATTTCCTCCTAATTTTGAAGACACCCATCTTTTACAATATGCAAAAGAATAGAACACATAAATGATCATCTTCTATGAAGTTGTACACATGTATACAGTTTCTTTCTTTCTTTTTTTCTTTTTGGTACAACATGTATACATTTTCTTAATGGACCACTTAATATCACTTTTTTTTTTCTTTTCCTTTTCTTCAAATAGATAACCCAAATATGCCACCAATAGGTCCAATACTATCAATCATTCAAATAACATTATATCATCTTGCCTGAAGGAAAGGAACAATAAACCATACATCTTTAGCTTCTTCTTTTTTTTTTTAAGAAAAAAAAGAAGAAAAATTTATAAAGCCTACACCTTTTAATTTCCTTGAACTTTCTGAACTCAAAATGTAAATATTCTAGACCGAAAACCAGAAGAGGAGAATAAAAAACTAGCTTTGAAAACGTTCTACTGTTTTTTTTTTCTTTACGGTATAACTTATTAAAAAAGTTGTGTATCCATAATTATGGCGATCTTCTCTCTTTGTTTTTGAAAAAATAATTTATTTGAATACTCGTGGGTTTAATGATCATTTATTCACCTTCTTTTTTCAAAAAAGATGATTCTCCATCTATTATTACAATGCACAATCCTCTAACTATGGTCAGTTGCAAATTTCTTCTTCATATTTATATTTAAATAAGACTAATATATAGGAATAGAGTGATGATACACATCTCACCTAATTTATCTCACTTTTCCATCTCACCTTACATAGTCTTTTGTTATTGGATGAAATTTAATAAGTTAATTAGATACTAGATGCTTGCCCCGGGCGAATGTCCGGAGTGTTCCCTGTATTTTTAAATTGATTAAATGAAAAATACGAATCATTCTTAAAAGAATAAAAAAATTAGAAGAATAAAAAATCGATTTAAAGGACAGAAAGTGAGTTATTACACATAAATCTATGCCCAAATTTACAATATTTAATTTATAACACTTATGCACGGGTTTACATAAATCATAGACCAATATCTACAACAGAAGAATAAAAAAAACATCCTTAAAAAAACAAATTTTAATGACAGCTTATTTTTTTCTGTTGTAAAAAGAGATGGATTGATAATTGATGTCAGATTTTAAGTAATTGATTTAAAGGCCCGGGTATGAGAGAGGAACGAAATGGAAGAGATTCTTTGAAATTGAGTATTAGGAAGACATTACTGGTGTTTCACTTGATTTAAGGAGTTTTCCTTACATTTGATTTTATCAACTAAATATTGTTGTTTTAAGGGATTAGTATATACTTATAATTAAGATATTTTTATGTAGCTATAATTAAGTGATTTATGTATTTATCTATTCTATCTTTTTTTTCTGATTAGTTAGAGTGCCACGTGTCAAAAATGATTTTGTACTGAAAATGGCTTTTGGCAGGAAAATTTTCATTGTAGTACTGACACATGTCCTTTTTGTTTGCTGCTTTAATTAAGTACTATAGATTAGATAAAATTTAATAAGTTAATTTAATAATTTTCTTGTCAGATTTATTTACTTTTTGAATACTTATATATCTAAAATTTTAAAATAAATAGACCCTAACCCCTAAAAAAAAGACCCTTTAGGGTAAAATTATATCTAAAAAGATATAATCAGTAGGCCGAATATTAATAAGAAATATAATAATATTTTAATTTAATTTATTTAGATTTAAATAACAAATTCATTGTCCAATCAGTAAATAACATGTAAGGTGAGACGATAAGGTGAGTTATTTAGGTGAATCCGAAACGTCGTCCAAAAAAAAAAAAGGCATGCAAAGTGCTCCATTAGCTTGTAAATTATTTTTAAAAAATCAGGAAACCTACATTTTTTTAGGAAAATCCAGTGAAACCTATGTATGTTTACATTTTATCTTTTGTAAATAATGAACAAACACTTTGGTTCCCATTTGGGTATATAAATTGGGAGGAAATTAAATAAACAAACACTCGGATGATTTCACGGATTTTGATTTTGGGAAAGAAGGATTTGATCTACAATAATGATATATATCCCCTTTTATCAAATCACCATATCACAACTAATTAAATTATAATTGATTTTATTTTACATATAATGCTGCTCTTGGACTGATTTGCAAAATTAAAGGATCAAATTTTTTAGCCTATGTCGTGCTCAGTATCAATATTGTGAACCTTTTTAAACCCAACTATTTTTTTGGACTGTTTTCAGAAAGGACATATTCAAATTTCGGCGCTTTCACCCAATCCTCTATCGAAGAATTGATAATGCACACCCAGTTTCCGCGACTTGTACGTGGAACCAAACACAGATGTTAAAAAAGGGGATGTATTTTTAAAGCCACGCCCTTTAGTACTCAAAACCATCTAAAAAAAAATGGACAATTTTGCTCCTGTCATTTAATACAGTAGAGAGAGAAAGAAAATGAGCAATTTAGAGGTAAAAAAAAAAAATTAAAAAAAAATCGAACTGGGCAAAAAAACCGTCCCGGTTGAAATGGGGACGCGCAACAAACGCGTCCGGCCATTGAACCGGACGCGTTCATCGCGCGTCCCCGGTTCATCGCGTGTGTTGCGCGTCTGGTCCGGGTGAGATCAGACCGGACGCGCAACACACGCGTCCCGGTTGAACCAAGGATGCGCAATAAATGCGTCCGGTTCAATGGCCGGACGCGTGTGTATTGAACCGGGACGCGCAACAAACGCGTCCGTTTCAATGGCCGGACGCGTTTGTTGCGCGTCCCCGGTTCAACCAGGACGCGTGTGTTGCGCGTCCGGCTATTGAACCCGATCCAACCGGACGGGCCGGTTCGGTGAACAGTTTTTTTTATTTTTTTAATTTTAATTTCATGCATGTTATGTTAATTTATTTGTTAATTTAATTAGTTATGTTAAGTAATTTAATTAGTTGAATTATATTTATTTTATTTATTGCATGTTATGTTAATTTAATTAAGTAGGAATATTATTATTTTATTTATTAATTTAATTAGTTATGTTAAGTAATTTAATTAGTTGAATTTTATTTATTTATTGCATGTTATGTTAATTTAATTAAGTAGGAATATTATTATTTTTATTTGTTAATTTAATTAGTTATGTTAAGTAATTTAATTAGTTGAATTTTATTTATTTATTGCGTGTTATGTTAATTTAATTAATTAGGAATATTATTATTTTTATTTGTTAACTTAATTAGTTATGTTAAGTAATTTAATTAGTTGAATTTTATTTATTTATTTAGGTTTAATTAATTAGAGATAATATTTATTTAGGGGGGAAATTAAATAATTAAAGAATTTTGTGGAATAAGTATTTAATTAAGTATTGGAAATGCAATTAATTAAATATTTAATTAATTGCTAAATTAATGAATTCTAGCTATTTAGGTAGGTATTGGGAAATTTAATTTAGTAAATAATTTTGGATTAGTTGAGTTTTTGTATTTCTTATAATTAATCTTTTTACTGTAAATACATATTTTTTTATTATTTATTATAATTATATATCTTTTTTAAATGATTGGAATGTGTGTTTAATTTAATTTATTATAATACAATTTTTTATTGTGATAATTTTATGTTTAATTTGCAGGATTCTTTCGAAAATTTTGGTGACGATGGTGAAGATTATAGTATGTTGTTTCCTACAGATGATGAATTTTCGGAAAAGGATGATGTTGTTGCTTGGATGAAAGGCATGTGCATGGCAAATGGTATGATAATAAACGTAGTTTCTAGCAAGAGGAAGAATGTTGTTCTGATGAGATGCTATAAAGGAGGAAAGGTGTCAGTTGATGATGGTGAATATTATGTCACATCAGATTCGAAGACACAAATCACTGGATGTAAATTTAAGTTATTGCACTTAGTTGATGGGAAGTGGCACATTCGGGTGTATTCTGGTGAGTTTGGAATGCATAACCACGAGCTGTTTGACGAAGATCATCCCACGAGGGGTCTTAGCGATAGAGTAAAACAGCTTATACAGGATATGTCCAAAGATGGGTGCAGACCGTGTCAGATCATAGCTGCGATTGAGAGGATATTTCCTGATGAAAAAGTTAACAGACGGCAAGTCTACAATTTCAGGAAGAAATTGCGTAATGAGGGTTCCCAGTCTTGGGTGACTCGAGTACCATGGATGTCGCGACGAAGACACTATCGGTGGCCAAGCATCATCGTTACATCATCATGACAGATTGCAATCAGGAGACAGGTGTGCTGACTCGTGTTTTTTTTGCACATCCTGATGCTGTCAATTTATTTTGCACTTATTTCTGGGTCGTCGGGATAGAGAACATACAAGACGAACAAGTACAAAATGCCATTGGTTGAGTTTATTGGGATGACACTGTGCAACCAGAACTTCTTGATTGCATACGCCCTCTTGAGTGACGAGACTGGTGACAGTTATTATTGGGTTTTGAGATAGTTTAGGGATTTGTTTCCTGGTCATCTGTCTCCAGCTGTTATTGTTACCGATCGGGAACCGGGGTTGATGGCACCGCTGAGTATAGTATTTCCAGATTCATGCCACTTGTTGTGTGTTTGGTATGTTTATGAGAATGTAAAGCGACATCTCAACAAGGAATTGAAATTTGAGCCCAAGATTGCAAATGATTTTGCATATGGGTTGTGAAAAGACGTTGTAATATACTTTGATTTGGACGTGCTAGGTTAAATATTATTATTTGTTGTCAAATAGCAGTTGTATAACTTAATCTTGATTTATTAAAATATGAGCGTAAGAGCTATTATAAGTTTTAAAATGTAAACAGAAAACCTCAAACGTTAAGACAAAAAAAAAAAAAAAAAAAAAGAGATAGCAAGGAACGGGACAAAGGAGTGAGTTAAGTCAGTTCCACAATGATGTCAACTATTCAAAATCAATAATAACATTAGTTTGGGATCAAGTTGTCATAAGTTTCTTTATTCCTTATTATTTAATCTTTAGTGGAAATGTTAGGAGGTAAGCCATTCAAATAAATACTATAGGAAATGGGTTTACTTTAGATCTAGGAAGAAGGAAAATGACTTAGTACTCAAGAAAATGTCATGGGAACTCGAATGAACTTAGTGATTAAGCTAGTACATTAAAGAAACCTCCAGACCACATTTGGGGCTCATTCTCCACCGCCTCAAATTTTGTTTCTTTTTGAAGCTTAGGAATAAAGCTACCCTGCCCAAGTTTCTTTTGTCTTTAGCATCACTCAGGGAATTAATTGGTTTACTATCCAGCTTAGAAACAAAGCCTGACTAACCAACAAATAATTCCGTCCACCGACTCGTTTTACTTGGCTATAAGTTATTGAACTAAAGCTTCCTAATTCAATTTTCTTTCGTCTATTTGGCTTCAAGATCTCCATCTCACCACCGCCTCACCTCTTCTTCTTCCTTATTCCAGCCTAAAACAGAAACCACAATATCCAACTTCCATTTCCTCCTTTCCTTCTCTGTCGGGCAAAAATGCTCTCACATCATGTTTAGCTCTTCCTCGTCACCGAAACAAAGAGCTAAAAATAAATAAAAGACAAAACAAAACCAAGTTGCTGCTCTTCGTCAAATTGATTAAATGGAACTGAGGATGGAGGAAAGCAAACTATAGGTGTTGGTGTTGAAGGGTTTGGATGCAACAAGGAGAGCCAACGTTAATAATTAGGACAAGCAGCTGTAAGGGATTAAAACAAATCGACCTTCCGATCGGAGTAGCGGTAAGATTACTTTATGGCACTTATTTTTTTTTTAAGCTAAAGGGATTGAAATAGATCAAAGTTGATTAAAGAAAGGAACCAGAAATATATGAGTCCTGGGAATAGTTTGTATTATTTTGCTTTAAATAAATGAACTTGTTAACCTGCCTTTTTGTTTGTTCTTCACGGGCTTAATCGGATTGGCAGAGTATTCTGTGATTTAGCGGGGTGAAAAAGAATTTAAGATCATAAAGCATCAAGTCGGTGAAGCTGGTTACATAACAACACGGTGTAGGAATTATATGTTGCTTGTGATTCTCGTTTTAACCTCGGAAGAGGAAAGCTTTAGGGTTTTCAGTTTTAGTTACCGTTTAGACTAAGTTATAACTCCAGAGATTAGTTATGCGACAGTATAATATGGATCCTTGCAAATTAAAGGATGATTGGGCTAGTTACACGCAAGTGATTTTTGTAAACAAACTAATAATTTATAGTATTCTAGTCTTTTGAATGCAAAGGAATTACCCTTTTGAATTGGTAGCTGACCAAGTTGGCTTCTTAGATTTGGGAAATGTTTAACGTCCCTTTGACTAGTCATGCATAAATATACATCAAGATTGATGCCAGTTTTCAATCAAATAAATCTTCTTAATTTAATAAGTCATGTATTGCGTCCGTTACTGACTAACTAGTTAATAACACATTAGCAATGTTTAAAGGTTTTCGTAACTGAATCTGCCAAATGAGTTTTAATTATAAACACATTTGTTTTGTGTAAATTAAATAATTATGGATATGTGCTACGTAAATCTAGATAATAGTCAAGTTTGCCTGATACTAAACCTGACAAGGTTTCATTAAACCATCTAGAAAACTAAGCCCGTGCATTGTCCAAAAATCAATGTTAACAATAAGCTTAGTAATGGAGTTTTATATCATGAAAAGCTCTTGTTTTGATATTATTAAAATGTTAACTGCAGAATCGTTATATGAGGACGTTCATTTTCATATTGACCAGGTGAGTAATTCTCACTTTTTTAAAAAAACTGGGAGTATGGGAATATGTATTTAAAAGTCACTTCACGCTCGAGCACATTTTTACATGTTACTGCGATATTAAATGCATGTTATTGGATGACTCGAAAGTGTACTTTATCGCTTCGGGATATGTGTTCTGGGTATTACTATATCTGAGATAAAGTTATATCGTTATGTAATTGAACGTTATAATTGATTAGTTACTGGATTGAGTATGATCGTTGAATGTATTGCTTCTGGTGATGTACTTTATCACATCAGGACAACTATTGTTGCTATTGATTGATTGTTATGTAATAATGTGTGATTGTTACTTCGGTGGACTCTATTCACTTGGAGCCTGGGGAGAGCCTTTGTTAGGCGAAGTCTTGTGGGCCGGTGTCGGGCTTGGTCGCCAGGTTAGCTTACCTAGGTTATTGTTGTCTGGACGGACGTGGTGCTCATGAGTATCAATCGGTGGCCACGGGTGTTGAGGAGAGATTGTTATTGATATGGAATTGTTGTCCGGATGGACGCTATCTGGCTTGAAGTCCGTCTCTGTATCACGTAGGCTATTTGACGGTCCTCACTAAGGTATCCTTATATCTATCGTATTGTTAATTGCTTAATGTGAAACAATTGATTGTTGAATGATTCTAAGTGAAATTATTTATATTGAATATTGTTTTACGAAAACAGTTTTATTAAAAGTATCGTTAGTATAGTGAGAACCTCACTGAACTCGGCGCTCACCCCCGTTTATATTTTATCCCCTTATCCCACTCCCAGGTTTAGAACGGATCGACGCAGATGAGTCCAAGGGAAGCAAGTCTTTGTTCAAGAGATAATGTTATTGATAGTTGTAATATGAGATGAGATAGGTTAAATAGTGAGGATGTTAAGTCGATGTTTAGAATTTGTATTAAAAGTAAATAAAAGTATTGCGCTTTGGACGAGAGCCCGGCAGACGGCTCAACTCGTAGTTAAACATGATGTATAATGACAGATAGGTGAGTTGGGTCGTTGCAGACGTTGTGGAAGCTAATAATCAGGATGAGTACAATAAAGCTGTTGTCGTAATAAATCGTCGTCGGCAGAATTTTCCGAGAGTTCTTAATTATATCCAGAAGACATGGCTAGTGGTTGACTACAAATTCGTTAAGGCATGGATGAATGTTGTGTTTCATATGGGCAACACTACTACAGGTAGGGTGGAGAGCGTGCACAAGCAGTTAAAAACTTGGCGGGAAACATCCACTGCGTCGCTGGATATACTTTGGGCTAAGGTGCATTTGGAAATTCAGAGTCAACTAACTGAAATACGGTAAGTTCTATTCCATTATATTATATTTATTATAATATATTTAGTATTTTTTTGTTTTTTTGGCATTTTATGTAGAATGTTTTACAGTAAGTGGCTACATTCAAGTACAAACTGGAGTACTCGAGACAGAAAATTGGCACCCATTATTGCGGTTTTTCACTGAACCGCTTGAAGTGTCAAGTTTCACATACATGTTTGCAAAAACTGAACACTGAGTGGTCGAAGGCGCAAGAGTGGAAAGAAGAAACGAATGACAGATGTGATCATGTGGTGTATTGGACTTGTTGAATTCCATGTGCGTGCGCCCTCAAAAAGGCTGCAGATGCCGGCACATTGATAACTCTTAAGCATATTCACCCATTCTGGGCGACCCTTAATATCGGTGAACAGGCTGGTACGAGTGCTTCTAGCGATGTGGATGACGATGTCCTTTATACCAGACAGTTGATGGAAGAGCTGAACGAGTGTCCTAAGGCAGTACGACGCAAGATAAATAGGGTTCTCCACGATATTATGCTTCCAGACCAGTGTGGGTTCAAATAACCCGAGGAGGTCAAGAGAAGGAAGGGGCGGCCTAAGGGGGCTAAATCAAAGAAAAAAGCAGAGGCCAACACTCTTGCCCATGAACAACGTCAAGGCCAACAATCCCCATAGAAAAGCAATACCTAATGTGTGGGATTATAGGGACGAGGCTCAAGGAAAGTCGACCACAGTTACCAGTGATTCAAGTAAGAAGCGCCCCTCGTCTTCAAGTGGTCATACAGATGCATTCACAGATACATGTTAAGAAGTAATTGTTGCGTCCATAATTTATTTATTAACAATTGTTCCAAATAACATTTGTTTCGTGTAATGTACAGATATTTTTGCGAGTGATATTTCACAGTATGGTTGCTACGACCTCATTCCATGGCCCATTTGGCCATATATTACCAGTTACCTTGATGTTGGTGCCGATGGCAATTGTGGATTTCGCGTCGTCGCGAGTAACATGTATCTGTGCCAGGACAAGTGGGCGATGGCGAGAGAGGCAATTGCGACCAAGCTAGAACAGAATTGGCATCTGTACAGTAGAATCTATGGGTATAAATACTTTTCATTTTCTATGTTATGATGTTTGCTGAACTTGGCAGTATTTTGCACAAATAATTGTATATGTAAATGCAGGACGGAATGCCAGGAAGAAGTCAGTCGTATACGGTGGAGTGGACAGGGTTTCGTACCTGATCGCTATTGGATGTGTGCGACGGACTTGTTCATAGTTGCGACTATGAACAATGCAATTGTGTATTATTGCGGTGCAGGGGAAGAGAACCAGTCGCTAAACAGCTCATGTTGGACTATACTACCTGTCACTGCACTCGGTGAGGCAACATGTCCGGCATATGAGATTAGGGTATGTCACATTGGTATTTACAAGCACTTCATTCGGATCAATTTGGACGGTGACTTTCCAGTTCCACCGATCAATAATCGGTGGACTAAGGAACATCAGCCTAGCGTTGCTGGTTGGAAATTACCACTTCTTCCTAGAATTCAAGATCGGTATAGGTTGGTCCCCTCCAATCCTGGACGTGTCGTGGATTATGCTAATGATTTCATTGATCTTAGTTTCTTAGATTAGATCCATGTATGTTTGTTTGTTGTGATGATGATATTGGTATTATCTAGTATCTAATTTGTTTGATTTTTATGATTTGTGCAATAACAAACCTTGTGGGCCATATAAAAAAAAAACTTACCACACGGACACCAAATAAGCTAACTAATATATAACACACAATTTGCGCATAAAAAAAAAACTAAATGCAGTCCAAGAAACAAAAAAAATAAACAAATCCAGTCCAATAATACTACAATGACAATGCTTATGGGGCCTTGTTTTTGTAATAAGAGATCATCGTATCCTGCAGCTTCTCATCATATTCGTCAGCTAACTCGCGATCGAACACTTTGACCTTTTTAATCAGGTCCATTGTGATTTTCCTCAATTCATTCATCCACTGAAAAAAAAAACCAAAAAGGTTAAACTATTTATAATATAGAAATGTATATCTACAAAAACCCAAATATTAAAAATACAACTTACATAATCCTGACTGCTCCTAGCTGGTGTAGAGACTGCAGATGGGTCAGTTGTCGGCAGCAGAAATGGATGTGAATACTGCTTGTACCATTCAAGGTACCCATCCTCACACTCCCCTACGATGTCACCGATATTGGGTCGCCATCTGGTCAAATTAATACACGCTGACTCCGGGAATCTCCTCCAAGTATTGAGTGTGTCAACAGCAGAATGCTCTACAAAGTACTGGGTAGTCCTGAGTCCTCAGAATGCATCATCAGGGGACATGGGCGAATGAGGAATACTCTGTACATAGCCAATCTGACGTATACATCTGTCCCGCATTTATGGCTCCTGCAAGTTCCTATACATTATCCACCTACTGTAGATAGTCCTCGGAACTATTCCTTGTTGCCATGACCAAATGGCTCCCACTCTACCTGCAAAATATTATTTGGATTATTTATAAATATAAATTTCGACAAAAAAATGAAATACAGTCAAATGAAGCAATCATGTACCTCTAACTCGGTGAAACGGTTGAGACGCTCCCTAACCTGACGAAGACAATCTGGCACATATGTCGGCCTCGCAAAAGATGGTGGTATCCAGTCATGTACTCTGGGCCTGTCATTACCCCCACGGGTAACTCGCCCTCCCTGGGGGTGGAAAATCGGGAAATACTCGTAAATAACCACCTAACTGAGTGCACTTTGTGCTACTAGCCATCCCTAACTGACGGTATAGGAACGCAAGCGTAGCAGAGCCCCACGAGTATGAACCCATATTCTCGATCCCAGCCATCAGCTCATGTACAAGTGAAACACTGCACCTCCCACTACTCTTACCCATAAACAACGTCGAGGCCAACAATACCCACAAGAAAGCAGAGGCCTGGGTATTCTCGTCCGCTTTCTGGCATCGCTCAAGGATGAACCAATCAGAGACATAGCCATGACTCCATATGTAACCATTCACATCCAGGCCAAGTATCCCTGCTGCATGTCCCCTCAACACATCTGTCTCGGACGTACCTGACACCAACTCTCCATCAACCCCAATGCCCAAAATATGATAAACATCATGCATCATGATGGTCATCTCCCCAAATGGGAAATGAAATGAGTTGGTGTCCGGCTGCCACCTCTCAACAAATGCACTCACTAAGCCAAGATCAATATCTTCATACGAGGTATGAAGAAGGTGACCCAATCCAGTCCCCCGAATCTTGTCTTTCACTACATCATCCATATCTTTATACCACATCTTGAACTTATTTAGAATATTTTCGCCTTTAAAAATCTTCAATGCGGGTCTATTGTATCCATACCAGAAATGATAAGCAATATGCCCAAGGAAGCTAGGAATCACGCTACCATCTTTCGGCCCACCAGGTACTTCATCTGTCACTAGCCATATAGTCGGATCAATTTCATCAGAAACTCTCGACTGGCTGCTGCCGCCTGTACCATGAATGAGTAACCAAATATTATTTATTATATTTTATACACATACAACAATTCAATAAATATAAATGAAAATAATTAATTAAAAATAATTACATAATTTTAAATAATTACAACAATTAAATATAGATATTTGGTACCTGATGATGCAGTAGTAGTAACTGGACGTGTAGATACTCCAGTGGATCGGGGACCTCGGCTAGGGCACACGTGATCAATGAGAGGGAGAGGACGTGTAGATACTCCAGCGGAGACGGGGCCTCCGCGAGGGGGCATGGGATCAATGTGGGGAGGGGGGGAGATGCCTGAGTGGGGTGGGAGGGACGAGGCCGACTACCGGTGGATATACCCTGTGAGAATTGACCGGGACGCGGGAAAGAGGGACTATAATGTGGACTGCGCCATTCACCACTCATAGGAGAAGGGATAGGGGTAGGGGGAGAGGGTAAACCGCCAGGATCAGGCCGTGGACAACTGGAGTACCGGAGAGGAGGGTAACTACTAAGATTGTACATAGGCGTATCTCTGTGATGCGCACCCATCCTAACACTGTCCTGCACATCATCCTCATCAAACTCATTCTCCTCATCCTCCTCATCCTCATCCTCCTCTTCCAGGTCGTCTTGAGAATACTTGGGTACATAAATCGGTTGACTAGACCGGGTCTGAAACGGTACACCATCCATATTGACCTGAGTCATTTTCATTCGCTTCTTTAACTCTTTTTCCTCTTTTTTCTTCCGACGACTCATGGTCAGATAACGCGCACGAACCTTACGCTTACTAGTATCTTCAGTATCACTAGTATCACTATCGTCATCATCATCACAATAAACCTATAAACAAAATTTTATTCATCATCATCATATTTTCATAGTCTAAACAAATAATTATACACATTTCCTAAATCTTAAATAGTTTAATAATTAAGTACACTTTGATTAAACGTATAATTCATATAATAATTAAGTAAACTAAAGTACTTTACCAAATTTTTTATTAAATTACTATTAATTATAACTAATCCAAAATACTCAACTATTTTACAAAATATTTATATTAATTTAATTAATCATAAACTACATTACAAACAAATTAGATTAGCTTTACTAATCTACTATTAATTAAATTAAAAATATAACCTAAATACTTTAATAACTATTTAAATTAAATAATTTAATCAATTAAACTAATTACGTAGTGAAATAATCTACTATTAATTAAATTAGGTTTTAAAATTCAACTAATTTACATACTATTTAAATTAATTTAATCAATTAAAATGATTAACTTTACAAATCTACTAATAATTAAATTAAAAATATAACCTAAAGACTTTAATAACTATTTAAATTAATGAGTAAATTAATCAAACTAATTAGGTAGTGAACTAATCTACTATTAATTAAATTATTTTTTGAAATTCAACTAATTTACATACTATTTAAATTAATTTACTCAATTAAAATGATTAATTTACTAATCTACTAATAATTAAATTAAAAATATAACCTAAATACTTTAATAACTACTTAAATTAAGTAATTTAATCAAATAAACTAATTACGTAGTGAACTAATCTACTATTAATTAAATTAGTCTTTTAAACTCAACTAATTTACAAACTAATCAAATTAAATTATTTACACAATTAAACTAAATAACCAACTAATAGAGAACCTCAATCTAAATCACAAACTATTAATTAATAAATAACTACATTATAACCCTAATTACATTAAATTAAACACCAATAATGAATTAAACAAATTTAAAAATAAAATAAAAAATAAAAAATAAAAGCATTCTGGCCGAAGCCGTCCTGCTGCTCGACCGGGACGCGTTGCTTGCGCGTCCCGGCCGCGCCGCCGGACAGCTTCATTGCTTGTCCGGCGGCCAGAAAGGTTTTTTTTTTTTCTTCAATTCACAATTTTTTTTAAAAAAAAAAAACGTACCCATGATGAGATCGGCTCTTTCCCGCTTTGATTCTTCCGTGTTGCCATCAATTTTGGATCAAATTAGACTTCAAAATGGGGTTTAGAAGGGTGGTGGCTTCAAGTTTTCTTTCTTTTTTCCTTTGGTGGAAGTTTGAAATGTGAGGGGCAAAATGGTTCAAAAATATTTATGGTGGCTTCAAGTAGTAAAGATGGTTACTTCAAAAACTAACATTCTTGAAAAAAACATTTACCTTTTCGCACATGAACTGGGGGAAGTGATGATTTTATACTTCCACGTAATAAGTTCAAATTTAGGAACAAAGAAGTTTTACCTTTTTTTTTTGTGAATTACTTTGAGCATTAAATTAATGGATATGCCTGCTTTTGATTATATGGTGGAGTAGTTTTTTCTAGTCCGGCATGATAGTTTCCATGACAGTTAGGTGGTAAGCTTTTGATTATATGGTGGAGTAGTTTTTTCCAGTCCGGCATGATAATTTCCATGACAGTTAGGTGGTAAATTTTATATCATGCATATTCTTGCCCTGTGTTTTGTGCTGATTTCAGTGCCTCCATAATTTGGCACACATGGACAATTTGTATGTTCCTGTAATGATAACTAGATGCTTGTTCCGGGGGAATGTTCGGGGAATCCCTCTTAACAAATTGATATGTTAAAAGAATATATTACGTTGTAACCAAATAAATAAATAAAACACCTCATATATTTTCATTATAACTAAATAGTAATAATAGAAAAATACAAATATTTGTGCATTTAGAGAGCCATAACATTAGTTTCATTGTGAACCAGTAAGCACATCGAATGTAAAATATTGAGGTAATGGTGAAAAGGTACCGAAACAAAATGTTGAATTAATACATTCCACTAAAATAACTAGGCTAATTGGCCGCAATTGTTGTAAGAACCGTGGGTGTTCTTTCTTTTAAGATGATACTAGTATTTTTCTCGCACATTGCGCGTTATCTTAATTTTTAATAAATGTTAATGATGTGAGTAATTTTTGCCCTTAACTTTAGGGAATATACACCTTTTTTTAAAATCTTTTTTCAATTATAAAAGATGATAAATATTTTCATGTTAATGAATTGCATTCAAAGTTTAAACTACTTTCATTCATGAGCGTGATTTTTATATCCACCCATTCTATAGGTTTGTTTACAATAGAGTGAAACAAAACTTTTATTAACATATGCTTTATCATACTTTAGGAGAAAAAAAAAATCTTACCAGATGTCTTCCATGCAATCTTGTATTAACATATGATTACAATAGATTAATGTGATAATGTCCACGTTAGAAATTGACGGGTTCCAATTTCAAAGAATGAGTGATTTTGGTAACCCAACCCAATATATAAAAGGAGAGTAAGAGAGATTAATATGAGAAAAGAAGAAAAGAATCACTCTATGTTTGGAATATTATTTTCAACAATAAATAACAGTTAATATTGCTATAAGATACACATATTTTATACTTATCTTTGCCATATTTACTATTGTTTTAAAATTCAAATTTGTTTCAATTATCTTTTGAAACAAAAAATATCATTAATGATAAGATAAAGACCACTCTATTTTTTATCCTACATATATAACAAAAAAAATAAAAAATTCCTTAATGAATTTCCTTCGCACCTTCTTTCTCCATGGATTTTTTTTCATGACAAACAACACACTGCACCGCACCTTTTGTTGTCGGTCACCATTCCAATTCCTTCTCCCCACCATTAGAGTTCTGCCATGGTAGCACTTCAAGAAGCAACAGAGGCTTAATTGGTTGGGTGGACTTAAGACACCAATCTCTGTGCCATTCACGCTAAAAGAGTCAACATCACGCTCTTCTCATTCATCACAGCTGTTGGCATGGGATCTTCAAATTACACTCGACGGTATTTAGCCGGAGATGATCCGGCGATGAAGTAAAATTTATAAGCGGCGGGTCCGGAGATTTTTGTAGCCAGAGTATTTTTTCCGGTCAAATTGATGATTCAGAGATCGTCGACGTCAAAAGTCTAATTTGAAGGAAGTTTTTTTTTTTTTTTTAGAAAATAACTATTTGACTATGTTTAAATTAACCACATTACTTGATAAAATACTCAGTAAAAAAAATTCGCGAATTAGAAGATGACGTGTGGATTACATAAAATTCTCTAGGAATGAGAAGATAACACGTGTAATTAAAAATTATCGATGATCTAATTAATTGACATGTGTCTTCTAAAAAAAATTCTCTTAATATATAGTAAGATTGGGCATCTTTGGATGCATATGTTCACTGCAATGAATTGATAGTCTGATCGAACATGGAAAAAATTTGACATGATGTAAGGATTACAATTCCCGTGGAAACATAGATACAATAAAAAAAAAAAACCAATTTAAGGTCGTAAATGACATACTAATAAAGATGAAATTAGTTTAACTCATTTTAAATGACAGGTTTGCTAAAAAAAATAATTGTGAATATTTGTTCAAAGACGACGACCATTCAACTTGAATATTATCGTCCCCCCAAAAAAAAACATAGAAAACTATCCAGTGTATTTTGTTAATTTCCATTCACCCTATCATAACGTATGAACTTCATTATCAGTGCATTAGCTTTCCTGAAATGTATAAGCAGGAAGCTGTCATCCATGATGGCTAGCCATTAATAAAAACCTCCTTAGTAGATCTCCCACAGCCACCGGTAGCATTTGTATCTGAAAAAAAAAACCAAAATCATATAATCCCAATTCCTCCTTAAAGACATCAAAAGAAAAAAATAATTCAAGGGTTGCCGAGATCTAAAGATGTGGGGGATTTTGCCAATGAACGATGAATATCATAGTCTCAGTGGTATCGGAATCGAAACGTAATGCGTTGGAATCGAAACAAAACTTTGACGCTGAAATACTAACTTTTTTAGCAATTACATAAATGCATTACCTCATGGAATTGATGTCAGCTCTCGGAGAAAAACTTTTATTGTCATCGACCTTTGAGATTAGAGAAAGCGAAGAAGGAAGCTTGAACGATCTTACTCCATGCGTAGGAAATTCAACCTAATTAAGTGTATTTTGAATTTGGAATTAAGAATAGGAGGAGATGGATTGGTACTTGATGGGAGATAGTGAGAGTTTTGAAGGAAGCTTATCACGATTGCAAAATCATTGTCTTATTTTAAGGAATTGGAAGAAAGCTGTATTTCTTTTGTGAGTAAATCCGAGATTGTGGGAGTAATTTGTGGGGTTTTTTTTAGCTTTTGCTGAAAAATAGTATTTGGTTTTTTTTTTTTATATATATAATTCTATCATTTTTTTCTTTTAATAGTCAATGTGCCATGTGTCAAAAATGATTTTGTACTTAGAATGGCCTTTGGCGAAAAAATATTTAACGTGGAGCTGACACATATCCTTTTTGTATGCTGCTTTAATTAAATACAATAGATGCACCCAGGAATGATTTGGGTTGAGTTTGCAAAAACTTTTTCCTTATTGAATGGTCTTTTCAATAATTTCACACAGATTATTGGGTACCTTCATCCCCTCTCGCTTTGAAGAAGACCTTGAATCTTCACATTTTTTTATAACAAAAGGAAAACATGTTTCGAAGAACTGATAATGGACAAATGATAAGGAAAACATGTTTCCAATCCTCTATCGAAGAATTGATAATGGACAAATGGACGGTTTTGAGATATCAATTTGTATGGTAGTTTTCAGGAATGTTTGGTTCAATTAATCAATTTTCACAAACGGAAAATAGGTGAAATAGATGGGTGATAAATGAATGAAAGTAACTAATTTATCAAAAAAAATATAGCAGTATAATGAAGGAGGGTCTTTTTTTTCCGACACACATCAGAAAACCAACGTGAGTTTGACAAGTGTCGGAGAAATCTCTGGACTATACCATTGAGCGACACGTGTGGATTGAAAACTCTCCTATTATATATAACAGTATTACTCCACACGTCGTGCGGGTTGTTTAACATATATATGAGGTTAACGATTTAACGATTTTATGACATTTTCGATAGAGTGATATACATTAAAAAAAATTATTAATGATATAAATTGAAATTGTGTAATTTTTAATGTCAATATATTTTATTATTTTAAGTATTTGGAATAATTTTCGAAATTCGAAATAATCCAATGTAACTTGTTATCCATCTTTTTCGCTTTGCTGATTCATGAGTTTATATCTTTTAAAAGTATTATCTTAATTTTTCATAATCATCTCTCTAAATATTTATATCTGTGTCATATCTTTTAAACTCTCCCCTAATATTTCTTATCATTTTTTTTCCATAAACTTATCTTTATTTTCATTTTTCTATATAACTTTTGTAACCTTTCTTTAGAAGTTTGTTCGTGTCATTTTTTTCTTATAACATACTATGTTTTTTTTTTCCATAAGCAAACTATCCTTTTACACTATGTTGTTTTCTTTACAATGTATCATGTTGTACGGTTGTCAATATATTGGAATCACTTTAAGTATCTTTTAAAAGTATTCTCTTAATTTTTTATATGATCTCTCTAAATATTTTTACTCATGTCATGTGTTTTAGATTTTTCCTCTAACAAAAAGTTTTCTCATTATTTATTTCGATAAACTTATCTTTATTTTTCATCTCTCTATACACCTTTTTGCAACCTTTCTTTAGAAGTGTGTTTTGCTTCTTTTTTTTTTTTCCTATAATGTAATGTTTACTTCATTTTTTCCTTGGTTTCATAGTCTTCACCCTTTTCTTTTTCTTAATTTAATGACCTATCTTTAAAGTTCCATTTCTTGAAAAACTTGTAATAATTATTTTATTTTCACTATTATCCTGGATTCTTTTTTCACATTTTCTTATTCTCTACATAATTTTTTTCTCCGTCTAATTATTTTCAATTTTTCAATATGTTTTTCTTCAAATGTTTGTCTATCACAAAAACCTTTATTCTTTTTTATCGTTTCTGAATTTTTCCTCTATCGATCTCTACGTTTTGTTTTATCAACATACGTTAACTTTTTCTACCTTTGTATCATACGAAAAAAATATAATGAATTATCTAATTGATTATTTTAAATTTTATTATATATTACCAATTTTCATCAATGTTAGAAGATTGATCAATGAAAATCGCATGACAAACCTGATGTCCAAGATGCATATGTAAAGAAACCTGCAATAAACTAAAATAAAAAATAAAATATTTAGTATCAGTATGGAGTATTAATTTCTTAAGTACGATGAAACAATTTTAATTATGGGCAACCAAAACTATGGATCTTATTATTTTCTTCTTTTTTTTTTATCTGGACCCGTCAATATTATAAGGAATAAATTAACTTAAATAATATTTTTTTTATAATTTATTTTTTTTGAAAAAAAATATCTTATTTGATATGTGCTGACATTTAATTATTTCCAACCAATGCTCGGATTGATTAGAATTAAATGATCACTATCAAATAAATAATCTTTTTGTTCTGATACGATTATCTAATTTGGATTTTCATTTTAGTGAAAGCGTTTTGAGATAGATGGAGCATGTTAAATTTATTTCTTAGGTAGTGATGTGGTTACACAAAATCTTATAGGGATCCTTATCGTTTTAGAAGTCTTGCATGTTCATCTTCATTTTAAAAAAAGAAAATTTAATTTATTTTGGTCACGTCTCAAACATTTTTTTAAACATTTCAACCCGTTAACTATGTTGTAAATGTCTAATTTTACCGCATTAGTCATGATATTTAAAATATAATTCCAAGATAATACTTAAATTATAGTTCGATTTTCAAATCCTATAGTTAATTTGGATTCTTAGATTTAGGTAAAAAGATTAAAAAAAAAGGAAAAAAAATGCCTATGTACTCGCTGCCCAATTATTTATCAAGTGCTTTAATTCTGTAATACATAAATCTAATTAAGATAAGTGCTTATATTTGATTAATTAGGTGTTCCTTTTGTTTTTTTTCCTTTTAAGTTGAATTTTGATACTTATATTATTTTTCTGCACAAATAAATCGGGTAAACTTAGTTATTTATAAATTTTTACAGATTTACAAATAAATATTACCTTTAAATGATGGAGTGATGTGAATGCGACATGTGGACTTGGCTATCTAATTTTTTACCATATAGATTAGCCTATCTAATATTACGCCATGTGTCCGATTGAAAACTCTCCCTTAATATGTACCGCATTAGTCAAAATATTTAAAAAATAATTCCAATATAATACTTAAATTATAGTTCACTTTTCAAATCCTATAGTTAATTTGCATTCTTAGATTTTGGTAAAAAGATTTATAAAAAAATAGGAAAAAAGTGCCTATGTATTCGCTGCCCAATTATTTCTCAAGTGCTTTAATTTCGTAATACATAAATCTAATTAAGGTAAGTGCTTATATTTGATTAATTCGGTGTTCCTATTGTCTTTTTTTTTTCCCTTTTAAGTTGAATTTTGATACTTATATTATTTTTCTGCACAAATAAATCAGGTAAAATTAGTTATTTATAGATTTTACGGATTTACAAATAAAAATCACCGTTAAATGATGGAGTTATGTGAACGTGATATGTGGACTTGGCTATCTAATTTTTTGCCATATGAATTAGCCTATCTAATATTACGCCATGTGTCCGATTGAAAACTCTCCCTTAATATATATATATATATATATATATATATATATAGATTATAAAAAAACTTGTTTCCCACATTGAATGATTTTGGACACTTTTTGGTGTTTGTTTCAACACTGTCACTTACCAAATTAAAAATAAATTTTAACAAACTTTGTAAGACAATACTAATAGCAATGACAAGTCATGTCCAAATACTTAAAACCAAAAAATAATAGTTTACAGAGGCTGCCTTAGATTATCCCATTGCATTCACATGAAACGGTAGCGTCTCTCCTAGACAACATCACGATGGCTTTCCCAAAAGAGGTGTGTAGGTGGTACATGAAAATTCTCATTTAAATCCACACGAATATGGTGCAGGTATGGTGCAAAATGAACAATTACAATCTCCTTCACTGGTTGGGATGCAGTGGAGGGTGCTCTTAATAGCGAAACAGTAGCACATCTCCACAAGGGAAGAGAATAAGAAAATATTGTTGCATTATAAAATATAGCAATAGGGAACAAGTCGTAGCAGACCGTCATCCATTGATCCGCTCCACATCTACCTCCGTCCCGTGTTATGCATCTGATCCCTGCCACATATGATCTCTGCAATTGTACACTTGTTTTTTTGTAGCATTATCTTCTGGAGGTTATTCTTGATTTGCCGCCAAAATAGCACACGACTTAGGTTGAGCGTTTGTCATTTGCTGCACAAATTTCTTCAATGTTGCACTAAGTCTGCTGATTTGTCGATGCCCCTCTGCATACACAATCACGGAATAGTTGAGCATACTCTTATTCATATCGTCAGCTGCACGGATTCCCCAACTTTCAGAGTTCCATTCCTTCCCAATTGTCTGATTGTTGTTTGGAATTTGCAGTTGCAGATTTTAATCTTTGTGTTTTTTCACATGTCGCTTCTTCAATCTTTACGAACCATCTTGTATCGTCTGCCATGGTTACATTGCAAGAACCTCACACGTCCTCCTTATTTGTGGGTAGAAATAATGAACTCGAATCTAACTTTTTATGGCCATTGATTTGGCTCACATGACTCAAATATATCTAAAGTGATGAAATGTCTATTGTAATCAATACCGTTACCACCATGATCTTCACTCGAAGCCTTCATAGTTTAAATAAAAATTAATATGTAAAAGTATATTTTTCATAACAATAAACATCATAAATACTACTAAACAACATCACTAGTTACCTAACAAATTACAAATATCTCCAATTAATAAAAATAAAAACAACACAAAGAAATTGATAAATATCCAAAATGTTATCAATAAAACAAACCAAATTCAAAATGTTATTGATAAAATAACTAAACATCTTTAGAGAGATATAACTAAACTTACAATTTAATTTAAAAAATAAAACAATTAATTACAATTTTTAGAGAAGAATAATAGAGTTGCCAAACTTTAAAACCAAAGAAAAAAAATCGAAAACAACAAACAATGAACCAAGCGCCCGGTTCACTCGTGCACCTGACGTGCATTAGGCGTGCGCCCGTCGGAAAAGGGGGCCCGGTTCACGCGTGCATCCAACAGTCTGCACGGGTGTATTAGGCGGACGACCGTTGGAAAAAGAGCCCAATTAATGGGTGCAACCGACGGCTGGCACACGCGCATGATGCATGCGGCCATCGGTTCGAATGCCTGGCTCACTCGTACAACCGACGGTTAGCCGCAACAAAATAAAAAAGAGCATATCTTTTTTCCTAAAAAATGAATATGAAACTAATTAAATCATGGACAAAATGCACTTTTGGTCCCTTAGCTTTGGGGGTTAGCGAGCTCGAGTCACCATGAATTTTTAATTGGCAAAAATAGTCCCCTGATATGTTTTTCTCATCAATTTTGATCGATTTAACTGAAATTTTACTAACTCAACGGGAAATTTTAACATCATCGAGGTTGTCTTGGATGAAGCGCCAACTCACTCTTAAAATAAGTCAATCTTGGTAGCCATCCATTTCTTGGATCGTTTTGAATTACTAATGATATGAATAGCCTCGTGTGGGATAACGATGTTGTCAACGATGCTACGGCCCACTATGGAGCTGGACTGAGTAGGGAGAGTCAGAGCATCCATAACATTTTTCAATCTGTTGGCAATGATTTTTGATACAATCTTGATGCAGACATTAATAAGTTCGGATCTCTGTGAAAGAGCAATCTTGGGATGAGGACAACAACACCCTTATTGATTTTATGGTTAATTTCCTTGGAAGCCAAGACATATTTGACCATCATGAGTAAAGAGCAGCCGACAACCTCCCAAGTATGTTGATAGAAACACTCGTTGAATCCATCCTCACCAGCTGATTTGAACGGACCCATTTCGAAAAGAGCAGACTTGATTTTCCCATCATAAACTTCTTTATTGAGGTTTGGCTATTGAAGGTCTGAAAGTTATAGGAAATCCCCTCTAACAGGATAAAGATCATGGTCATCAGGGGAACAATATGTGGCCTTAAAGAACTTTGTGGCTTTATCTATGAGGGTTGATAAATCGGTACACCATGTTCCGTCCTCCAGTTGAATCGTAGTTAGACATTTTCAGTGTTTTTTTTTTTTTTTGCTTGTGGACTGCGTGGAAGATTTTAGTATTTCTATCACTATGGGAGACCCAAAGAGGCTTTGCATTTCTCAAAAGTTCTTTTTATATAACAGTACACTTGTATTCATCTTTTAGTTGTTGCACGAGTTCCTACATTCTTCGGGTAAGATATTGCTTTAAAGATGCCTGTATCTTGCCAAAAGTTTTCTTTTCTTGATGAAGAGGACTGTAAAATGATAATTCTTTTATCAACAATAAAGAAAAAAAAAGGGCAAATGATAAGTTGGTTCAGTGGTAAAACTACCTTTGCTCTAAGAGGAGGTCATGAGTTCAATCTCCCATTCCAACAACTAGTGAGGCCTAGAGTAGTTTATCTTCCACTGTGGTTTGCAAGGTATTGCCGTGGGCGTGAAAAAAAAAATGAAAAATGACAAAATAGTCGTAAAGTGAGGTCCATTAAGGTTTAAGTGGGTTATATTTAGTCCTGAAGGAGAGGCCACACACCAGCATGATTGGACCAAAATCGGTGAATTCTATTTTGGACGCCCAACTCCCAAGCCTGAAAGAAACCCAAACCATTATTGAGATCCAGTCCAATTTATTTAAACCAACTAGAATACTGGTTCAGTTTGTTAGGAAGGACGATAAAATGCCCCCTTTTACATTACCTTTCTAAATCAGGACACAGTTACATTACAGGCGAAAACCTAACTGCCGCAGCTAAGAAAATATCTCTCTACAAATGGGCGAAGAGGTAGATCCAGTCCCAACTTTTCTTCGTCGATCTGAATTCTCGATTTTATTTTTTATTTTTTAAAAATCCGGTGTAAGAACTTTTCCTCTGCTCACTGTATTTCTCATTCTCTTGGTTTGATTTAAGGGGAGAAAGATGAAGGCTGGACTCAACAACGGTGTACCTGATCATCAATTGCCTCCCACCGTCCGATCAGAAGCCGAGGATGCCCCTGCTAATCAAGTGAGTTTTTCCCCCTTTTTTCCAATCAGACAAAGGCTCTTAAAAGCTTCCTCTTCGATGAGAGATTTTCTCTTCTTTTTTTGTTTTCCCCCCGATTTTAGGTTTTATATATTTATGGTTTTAATTGGTATTTTTAGATTGATGGTGAACGACCTGGGGAATCAAAGGAAACCGCATCTTCTGTAGCGGTGATGGAGCCTCCAGCAAAGAAGGTAAATCCCTCTGGTAGCTTCCGAATTTTCCAATTCCTTTTGATTTAGGGATTTTTTCTGTTTGTTTTTCAAGTCCAACTCCAGGTATGGCTTCATAACTGAGGTTGCCGTCTTAGTGTGAAGAACAATTAGTTCAAGAATCATTATTGGTTAAAAATTTTATCTTTTTCCTTATCTTTTTTATTTTTTTTTATTCTTGCTTATTACATTTTATTTTTTTCTTAACATTTTATCTTTTCTTGGATTGAAGGCGAGACGAATGCAAGTGCCATTTTTTAACAGACGCAAGGGACCTACCGCTGCCCTAGATTCCCTCCTGCTTACCTACACTGACCCTGAGGATCTTGGTTCCGATGATGATGATGATGATCGTGAATACTCTATCAATCCCATCCTAGCTTATGATGTTAGGTTTTTTTCCTATATGTTCATGCATATGTTTATTTTACAACATTTACTCCTATTCCTTCGCTTAATAGTTTGTTTTTGTTTCTAGATTGAAGATGAATACCTTACGGGGCCTCGCACCTGCAAAGAACAACAAAGAAAATTTTACCTACTCAATGATACTGTTAGTTTCCCACCTTTTCATTAGGGGGTGAAATAAAAAACCCCCTGCCCTTCATTTTTATTTAGTGGTCTTTTTTACTTTCTGTTTGGATATTTATTCATTCTTTCGTTTGTGGTCGTATCTTCAGGCCGATGATGTCATGTGTTATGTGGATAAGGGAACCACAGCTCTTGGTTTTATTTATAAGGGAGGGGTTATGGTAGCTGTTGATCATTCATCATTTGGTGAGTTATTTTTCTTTGGTATATTTTAGTCTGGATGTATTGTTCAATGTTTATCAAATGACGTTTCTTAATCTCTGCTTATTTAATTTAGCATCCGAGGGGTTGCCTGAAAAAGTTATTGAGCTTAGTACTCACTTGCTTGTCACTGTATCTGGGGGCATCAAGGACTGTAAAACTTTTCTCAGAGATCTGCAAGCGCAGGTAGGTAGTTCCTGCGATATTGCTGGTATAGTATCAGATGGGAATGATCACAAATCCTAGATTGGTGGTAGTTTTTAGTTTTGAGAAATTTTCAAAAGTATCTATGACTATCAAGTATCCAAAAAGAGGGAAAAGAACTATTTTTGTTTGTGTTTTTGTATGACTATGTGGATATTTTGGGAAGATTGATGAAACCTTTCATGCATAATGCCAGTACCGCCTATATGCAAAGGGGAGAACAATTTCTGTTGCTGGAGCATCAAATTGGGTGTTGGATTATCTGAAATCCCTTGGTGAGGAGGGCTCTTCAGCTGAAATACTGATTGCTGGGTGGGACGATACTGTAAGTGTTATTGGCCTTTTTGTGGATGGAATTTCATACTTCGTTTACTTGTTGAAGTTTTTCTTCCGGCTTCTCTATTAACTTATGAATTATGTCTTTCATGTAGGTCCCTAACTTGTATTATGTGGACGTTAAGCGTGGACCGCTTAAAGGAACTGAATCTGGCATTGGATCTGGTTCCTTTCATGCTAAATGTGCTCTGTTTGAGAAGTACGTCACTTTTTCATTGTCCTCATACCGTATGTGATATGAATGCGCATTGATTTTCAACATTTTGGTCCTCTTTATCAGTGTTCTGTCCATATGATATATGATATGAACGCGTATTGATTTTCAACTTTTCGGTCCTCTTTATGGGTGTTCCTATCTAGGAACTATCGCGACATGTCCGCTGATGAAGCTGAAAAGTTAGCCGATGAAGTAATGCAAAAGGCGACATCTGCACTTGGGATCAACATTAGGGATAATGAAGGTGGTGAAATTGGTGGTTTCATCAGTGGTATATCTTTTTCGGCTCTGTTTCTCTCTTGCATGTCAATTTGTTCGAGTAGATCTATCATTATTTTTGTTATCTCTCTATCATTATTTTTGTTATCTCTTCTGATGATTACCCTTTCTTGTTTTAAGCATATCGCGTACAAGCTGATGGGTGGCAGATGGTCTTTCGAAATAAAAGTCCAGGAGAACCGAAGGATCGACCGGGTCATAGGCGTATAATAATGTGATGTAGTAGTCTCAATTCTCTTGATTTTGTGCTATTGAATATTAAGACTTTCAATGTACTGTTAGGGAGAACAAAAATCTATTATCAAGTATTTTTGTGTAATGCATATTGTGGACTTAGCAAGTATTTGGCTAGAAACGTTCTTTGGATTCCTGTTATGTTAGATAGGGTAATGCATATTGTTCCTGTGTGGTTATCTTGTGCTTTTGCGATTTAAAGTGTAAGCAATTGAATTCTGGTGATTGGCAATTATTTGGAGGATCTCATTTGCCAGCGATAGTACTTGAGCCGTATGCAACATATGGTAAGGTTAGATTAGAATAGTTACAAAAACCATAGGCCCATGGCATTGGTTAGTGTCAGGTTCTGGGATTAACCGGACCGAGAATCAAACAAGGGGGAGGAAATTAGAAGCAGAATTGAGAAAATTAGGTCAGGGAGAGAGTTCAGATAGAGAAGAGGGATAAAACCATTTCTGGTTATTTTTCATAAGATAAAATGCACTTTTCGTCCCCCAGCTTTGTGGGATATCAAGATCGAGTCACCATAAATTTTTAATTAATAAAAATAGTCTCCTAAAATATTTTTTCATCAATTTTAATTAAATTGACAGAAATTTTTAGGACTTAACGGAATATGCCTACCCTCCGTCAAATTAAGATTTTTATATTAATTTCTATCTTGTTTGTGAAGCCTACAAAGTTTCACCCTCAAAAACAAAAAAAATTATAGAAAAAAAAAACTAAAATATTAAAGAACAGAGACTGCCGGCGGTTCGGGCAACGAATTCTCTGTTTTGGGGCTGTCGCGGTTGAGCAACGAATTTGACGGCGGTTTGGCAGCGAATGTCAAAAAAAAATAAAAATTCACAGGAACTGCCCAATTTGGATGAAGGATTTTTCTGTTTTTTAGTTTTTTTTTAGAAATAAATATTCTCCGGCATATATTTTTTTGCATAAAACTAAAAAACAGGTATATATAAGCTTCCAATTCTAAACACCTATATCCATTTTTTCCAACACATTACTAGCGGAAATCCTTCCGTCGGCAACTGATGAATTTGCGGTTTTGCCGGCAGTTTTCTTTATTAAACTACCACCGGAATTCAATTGACGGATTGAGAAGGTGCTGACGAGGTGGCCTCCACCTGCGTCCGGTTCCTAGTTTCCATACTAAACCCAGCCCTCCCCTTCCCTGAAAAACCGGCGAAACCTCTCGCCAATTGAATTAATCAATCGGCGATGTTCGCGTACACTTCTGATCCCCAAATTATTAACATATCCAGCAATAACAATTCCCTTCCAAAATATTCAATTCAATTCAATCAAAGCTCCAATATTTATCAATCCAATTCGACGAAATTAAGTCCCCAATCGATAGAAACAAATCCTAAAAGCGAAGGGAAAATAAAATATCTACAAAAAGAAAAGAATCGGTGAGATAAATGATGAAAATAAAAAAGAAAAAAAAGAAGAAGAAAGAACAAGGTGAAGATATAAGATGAACTGGGGAGTGAGGAGGGGGGATATCGTACTAAAAGGTCTAATAGAAAACCCTAATTGTGATTTTGGTGGGTAAATTTCTCTCTTAATTAATAAGAGAAGAATCTGAAACGAGATTAATAAAGCTAGGAACCGAGAAAGCTTCTTTGGTCGAAAAAAATTTCTGGGTTCTTGGATTCGAGGCATTCCAAAAGCATTCCTGTTAATGGGTTCCCATTGTGCCGAGTTAGCAAAGAAAGTGCGGATCTTGAGCCCATTGTGAAAGGAAGAACGAGAATGAAAGGCCTCCTTTTGATATCAATTTGGTTGTTATTCTTGCTGGCTTTGTATTTGAAGCTTACACAACTCCACCAGTACAGTTCTCAGCTTTATTAATGCCTAATCATTTAGAAAAATATTTTTTTTTTGGATCAACTCTATGGGCCCCACAGTTGAGATGAATAATTAAAAAATTAAGAACGGAAAGACGGCATCTTCCGTTAAGTCCTACCCAATTCTGTCAATTTGACCAAAATTGATGGAAAAAATATTTTCAGAGACTATTTTTACTAATTGAAAATTTATGATAACTCGATCTTATTACCCAAAGCTGGGAACGAAAAATGGGTTTTGTCCTTTTTCATATGATCAATCGATGCCTATTACAAATGATTACCGTGATATTTATAATAATCTGGCTAAACTAACTAAAACTAAATCTATTACAAAGTAATCCAGTACTTTTAGTTATTTCTATTTATGACCCAAGGTCATGACAAATCATCCTCCCTAAAACAAGCTTGACAAAAGAAGTAGTTGCTTGAATTTGTACTGGTCAGATTGATTTCTTTCTTCACGATGGTGGTTGTACAACTCATCGTGGAAAATTGTGCCTCCTTTAAAGATGTGATGATTTTATCCCAAACTAAGTGCAAACATTCGCTCATACCACTGGCAGCTTGGAGAGTTATTCTACTGGTGCTGCATGTTGCCCTCAAGGAATTTATGCCATCCTCCATTGAAATTTGCCACGGAAAGTTCCAATCCCAAGCCCTCTCGCCTTCAATATTTCTGAACTGATGTGTAACGCTTGAAAATGGAGCTGATATCAACAATTTGTGAACATGTACAGAGTCACCCCTGTTAAAATGTGTCTTGGAGAAAACAAGTCTCATGCCAGCTCCGTCCTTAATTGACGCCCATACAAGTAACATGAACAACATTAAATCTAACAAGTGGAAGAGAAAATTTGGTAGTTGATATCCAAGAACTTCTGAAATGAGACCATTTGTTGAAGAGTAACCCCAAGGAAGCAGTTCATAATGTGCATAAACTCCAAGAGGATTCTTCTTCTGTAATGATGGTTATATTGAAATTCAGAAATGCCACAGGTGCTGCTACATCATTTCCTAAAAAATAACATGTGCACAAAAGCCTATTTTGCAAGGTAGGCTGCGAAATTCTTGTTGCTGCAACATTCGAAGAAGTCAGACCATGCATTTCAATGTAGGTAGAATTCAGACCACCATTTCTTAAGATTTCTTGAATTTGGGACTTAACCATAACACCCACATGCTCTCTTCTGTTCTTCTTATTTACTTCAATATTAGTACCTTCCTCGAACCATGTCACTTCATTCCAGGTATTGGAAGAAGAATTATCACCCCACTACTCCCAGTGTTCCAAATTGCAACTGAGAGCTCAGCTGTGATAACCAGAAATTCTGAGTTTTCTTATCCCATACAAATCCACAACCAGCAGCACTTACCACACTGAAATACATAACACATGAGCTGGTATGGCCTGATGCCTTTCTGCAACATAAGATTGATTTCAAACTATGCCATGGTATCAACCACTCTCATAATTGCCATATCACCACTCTTCCCTCCTTGAAAGCAACCTTGTCCTCAAGGTTGTGACATGGATGCGTTCCTTTAAGAACTATCATACCAATATTGATTCCATAAAGCTTTTATCGAAGTAAACTTACCTCTAGTCTAGAGTGCCACCTGTAAGACCCGATATCACAATGTCCCATGACCTTCCCCAATCTCTCAGTCCACCTGAATCAACACTGAACAACCCCAACCGGATTTTACTGGCCAGGAGACTATTTACATTTCTCCTCAAACAATCATCGCTGAGTGTATTAAAAAATATAGAACCACAAAAGTCTTCACACACCAATGACTTCCAAGTACCCACATACCCTCCAATGCACAATTAATACTGAAAACATGTTGGAGTTTGCTGTGATCAATTAGGAACAACCACTTTTCCAACTCAGATTTATCAACATCATTCCGACATTTATCCAGACCCAAGGAACAGTTAACTCCAACTAAGCTCAGAATTTCACCCTTCACAAGTAGACGATTACTATCACTTGGAACCAAATAAATTTCTGTTCCCCCTCTAAAACAAGTTACTACTTCAGTCCAAACTTCACAGGTTTTTAGAGAGTACATTCGCTTTTCGCTTACAAGGCACATACCCATACCAGTGGAGCATTTAACACAAAATGAGCATCCTAATCCACCAGGATCAATCATAAAGAAGCACCAACAACTTCGTTGAGCAAACAAGCGGTTTATTCTCACACTGTCATTCCAACAAGTAACAACCCTAACATTTTCTGAATTTATACTCGCAGGCACGTTATCAATCACAGCAACTTCACATTTTTCATCAAATGAATCCACAACACTCAATTCATCATCAGATTTCTCAAGGTTATTGTCTAAAAGAGCCAAATCTTTCTCACAATTAACAATCAAATCCTCTTAATTATCAGAAATCATCCAATCGTCAACATTTTGAGGAAGGAATTTACCTCGTTGTTAAATTTCTGAATTTACCTCAACTTCTTGGTTGATGTCTTTAAACGACTCAAGATCGTAAGCCTCCCAAACACTTTCATCCGACGTCGTTTCTGATTTTACTGCCATATCACCACCGGATTCTTGGAATGTTTCGGCTGACTCCTCCACCGCCGGGGTAGTTTCCTTCTCGACAGCAGACTTCTCCGGTGTTGACTCCCAAATATGCACCACCGTAGTCGGCCGGATGTAATCCCCAAACCGAAGCGCCAGCTGACCAATAAATTTCTCCCAATTATCCAACTGTGACGCCCGTTTAAGACCATAGTAAAATTGAAGAGGTTCTCCGGCTGAATAAAACGACGCAACGAGCAGCTGATCCTCAGACGACATTTGATAGTCATCGAATAATTCGTCAATGCGGGATAACCACATATCAAGATCTTCGCCTGAAAAGAGAAAACACCATACGAAGATGGTTCTGGAAGGTTAAACGGAGTAGGATCTCGAGGATAGGCTTGTGATGGTGGCGACTTCAACAATTTGTCAACAAAGAAATTCGTTGGTTCAATTTGAGAAATCGGCAAGAATTTCAAAATCGATCAAATTGGAGAAGAGTCGGGAAAGAAATGAATTGCGGAAGCGAAGAGAATGGAACGGAGGGGCCGAAATTGAAACCAGAGGCAGCAAGATCGCTGCTCTGATACCAAATGTCAGGTCCGGCGTCGGAACGACGTGATTCCGGCCAAGAATTTGAGTAGATCGGAACAAAATGGAAAATGACTCAAAAGTCAAGTTCAGGAAAAATTGGCCGATCGTACAGACGACTGTGCTTTTCTTTTCATAATCTGTCAACTGTCAGTTTTCCTAGGTTTCATAAAGCACAGAGTAAACTATTGTGACTGAAGATTACTTTTGTCGTTTTGAATGGAGGATTTTTCGATTATGATTGGGAATTAGTTACCATGATCGATTGAAGAATTTTTTTTTGCTTCTCCGTCACAAATTGTTCCGGTTAGCCCTTTCCCTCTCTAGCTTTCATTGTGATCGGGACGATGATAATGTCGAGGGGGATGGTGGTGACAACTAGAATTGATTTTGGGTTTTCTTTTATTTGGGCTCCACTTGGACAAGAGTTTTAAAAAGACTTTAAAAAGACTTTTAAGGCTAAAAAGTCTATTTAGAGCTTAAAATGCGTTTGGACAAAATAATTAAAGTCTTTTCTAAACATCAATTTGAAAAAAAGAAGGTTTAAAACAGACTTTTTAGAAAATAGATAAGAGGTATTTTTCAATTTTTTGAAACAGGGCTTTTTTCACCGTTCGCGGGTCGAAATTCGGGTCAAAGACGGGTTATGAAAAAATCGGATCATCAATATAACAGGAAAACAAAGCCCCTTCTCACTCTCTTCATACTCTAGACCGCCCCCCCTTTCTCACTCTCTCTCCTTCGGCACCCCCAATGCCGGTGAGGCGGCGATGGCAACGGCGACGGCAAAACTCCCCGTGACGGCGACGGCGAAGTAAGAAGCGACACCTTGTTTTGGTAAAACCCACGAAATAATCTTTCTTATTCCCAGTCTTTTTTTTTTCTTTTTGATTGGATTAGGATTAGTTTCTCATCACTTCTAATGCTTAAATTATCACTCAAATCCTTCTTATTTCAGCATGGATCTGTGAGAATTTTTCGTGGGTTTTACGTATTGAGTCATATTTGAACTGGGGGTTTTTTTTTTGTGTGTTGGAATCATTACGGCTGAGCACGAGTTAGTGATTTTGGTTAAATTCTCGTGTCTTTGTTGATTTGATTTCCTTTCTGGTTAAAAAGTATACTTTCTGAATTCTTTTTTCCATCAGTTTTTGTCTGTTTTCTGCAATCAATCAGCCTTTCGTAAAGCATTATAGCAAATAAAATTTCAAGTCTAAATTCGGGTGAGAATGACGGCTTTGTTGGGTTTCTTTTCTTGTTTGACTTGAGCAAGGAAAAAAGAAAAAAAAAAACCATGGAAGAACGAAGCCCCTTCCAGGTAAGTAGTAGTAGAGTGAAAAATTAACACAGTCCAAGTCTGGTATAACAGCCATTTTGGTGGGTTTTATAGTCTTTCCTGTTTCATCAGATCTTATCCTGCATTTTTCATGTTTGTAAAAAAGGGCCGCATTTTGCCCTCCTCTTGTTGTTTTTTGTTGTTTGCGTGTTTCAATGTGGGATTAGCTTAATGTTGATTAGAAGCTGAAATTCGGACTAAAAAAGAACTGCATTTTGTGATAGATCTAAGAAGGGCTGTTTTTATTGGTATGTAAGCTAATTTAATCAGTGTAACCGCTGTTCTATGTAATGGTAAAGTGAAAAATACGTGCTCTTTCTGCGTTTTGGAACTTTTATCTTTTTTTCAGTCTTTGTTTCCGTACCCTTTTGCTGCTTTGAGGGTTTAATTGGGAATGATTTGTTAAATTTTTGTTTCTTTTGAGGATGCTTTCTGTTTGAATTCTTGTAGTGTGTCTTTCTGCTGTTCAAAGTTTTTGAGTAGTGGAACATCCTTTTCTGATGTTGTGGTTTTTCAGGAATTTCAACTGAAAATTGGAATACATTTTGAAGTTATGTGATATGATAAATGGTGTAGTATTTTGTATGAGATTGATCAATATCCTAGGAGAGTTAAAGGGCATGCTAAAAGTTTGCATGTTTCTCATATAACTTCGTATGAGTGTGCCTTTCTGCTGTTCAAAGTTTTTGAGTGGTGGAACATCCTTTTCCGATGCTGTTGTTTTCTAGGAAATTAACTGAAAATTGGACAATATTTTGAAGTTATATGATATGATAAATGGTGTAATACTTCGTATGAGATTGATCAATGTTCTGCAGCAAAATCTTCTCGTGTGAGTGTGTCTCTTTCGTGAGTGGGATTAAGAATCCACGTCAGTTTTGAGACTGTAACAAATAGGTACTACTAGGTTACAGAATCACTAATATAGGAAGGAGGATTTGAGGGAGTCTTCCCTTCTAATCTACATGAATTAATTTGTAGATGGAATTTAGAATTATCATCCACTCAGTCTTAGCTCCCTTGATCAATTAGTAGTCGTTGTACTTTACTCTGTTTATTTTATGATCAGTTCTTTATATTCAGTAAAGGAACGCATGCCCGTACGTATCGCTCAGGCAGCTGTACATCTGTACGTATCGCTCAATCATCAACTTGTTGTTCCTCTTGATGTTTGGAGTTTTCTAATGGTTCCAGCATCTATTGCTCTGTTACTGTCCTGTCTGGTGATCTTGATTTATAGTTGTAACATTCTAGATTTAATAATTAGTATATTAAATTAGTAATTGGCTAATTCTAAGTGATACTATGCATGATTTTTCTGTTCCTGATTTTTTTTTTGGACAACTCTTAAGGCCTCTGAATGCTTTCTTCCTATCAAATCCTCAACAGAATTTTACCACTTTTTCCTGATTTGATATTTCTTGCGCGTAGTTGAACAACATTTTTTATGATTCACCTATGCAGGTTCAAGTAAGTTCAACTGAATTGTTTCCACAAAGATCTAGGGAGCCAGATTGTCACGTTCAAGTAAGTTCAACTGTAAATTTGTTAATTAGTATTTTTCTCCTTTCCATTCCTGTGGTTGCTTTTGTAGGAATCTGTTTAAGTGCTTATTGCACCTCTGATCTCTTGCGTCTTGTTTCGTGTCACAATGCTGTTAAAGTGGCGTTTGTATGAGGATGTGTTCCCCTTACCTTGAATTGCAAAAATGCTACTTAAATTTATGTTTTTCAAACTTTCATGTTCCACCACTCCACCCATTCTAACTGCTGCTGCATATTAAGTACTATAGGGCTAGTAATTTTCTTATTTTTGTAGAGAGGTGGTCTTCTTTCCTTTCAGTTTCAGCTGGTTAAATATTCCTATGTAGTTATGGATGTTTTCCATGCTGTAAAGTTGTAGGATGAAATTCTAAGCATAGGTACTGCGTATTGGATGTCTGCTTTGCTCAATATGACCTTTCTTCTTTGTTGGCTTCCTTGGTACTTGGTAGCTTGTGACTACCATCTATTACTCCCTTAGCTTTCTGTGCTTGATATCCTCAGTGAAGCAGCTCAATTAGGCAAACTTCCTTCTTCCTTTCCCTTCCAATGCATTTTCTGGTTGGCGCAATATTCGATGAATGGTGGAAATATTCCGCTGCTTGTCACTTATGTTGCTTCGGCATTCTTGATTTCGCTTCATGATCATTCTTTTTTTGAACAAGGTTCCATTTTTTTCTATTATTCAAGCAATATTGTGAAACATTTGGGTATTGTAATGCATATGGTGAATGGCATGACATCACTCAAGATTATAGCTCTTTTTTCTGTTTTCTCATCAGGGGCCGTATTTAATGTGAGTGATTGTAAATTGTGTGTTTCTGTTTCATTACAGCTGTTCATCAGTTACGCTATCTTTGACTGCTTGTGCTGTTGTGTAATATTTTTGTTTTCTTAATGGAAGATTGGGTTCAAAAATATTCGTGCTTCCGCCATTTTTAATTTTAAATCATTTGATAAATTTTTTTCATAAATATGGTTAACATTGAACCAATTTCAGCTATTTGAAAGATAGTGTTCTTTAGATTCGGTGCTACCTGGTATTTTCCCATATACTTAAATCTTATGATTCTTGTGCAATGCAGAGTTGGAAGGCAGGTTGTGAATGTTCCTTCCTTCATGATCAGAGTGGACTCCCAGAAGCATATCGACTTCTCACTTACAAGTCCCTTCGGTGGTGGTCGTGCTGGAAGAGTGAAGAGAAAGAACCAGAAGGCAGTTGCAAAGAAGGCAGCTGGTGGGGACGGTGATGAAGAGGATGAAGAATAAGCTATTGGCTTTCCTGTTATGTTTAATCAAAATACTGGATAATGTTAGATGGTTTGTTTTGCTGTGGTAATACTGTCTCCTAAATGGTTTGCGGTGCTCTTAAGGAACCTAAAATGTAGGAAGTTTTGGATGCTTTACTCCTGTTTTCTCCCCGTCTTTATCAGGCTCTTTATAAGTAAGTTATTGTTTCTTGTTTCTGCACATTCTTATGCCTTTTATTTGTCTTGATTTGGAAAACTAGGAGAGCAAAGTGATAACTATCCAATGTAGAAAATTCCGCCTTGTGTTTTAAACTCATCTTGTGTAAGAAAAGTGAAAAAATAAAAATAAAAATGACAATTTGTGTAAGAATGATTTTCTTTATAAGTTATAAAATTTGTTTTAAAAAAAAGAATGATTTTCTTTTTTTAAAAAAAAAGTTCACAAATTATTTTGAAGAAAAAGTAATTTTAAAAAAGATCTAGTCCAAATGACTTTTTAATATTTTTATCTACTAAAAGGGTTTTGAAAAATTCTTGTCCAAATGCATTATTTTTCAAAAAGTACTTTTTTAAGTTTTGGTTCAAACAGACTTTTCTAAA